AATCCTGCCTTCTCACCAGGGGAAAAACCTCCGGTCTCTACTAAGAACGAATAGTGTGAGCTGTGAGCTGTTCGGGCATTTCTTGATGCAGTTCTCCTTCCCACTTACAGCGGGTGATCCGTCATACAAAATTGTTATCATCAATCACAATACTAAATCTGCAGACAGAACTGTTTCGTCCTTTGTGGACTTGTCAGCGCAGCGCGGAGAAAATGAGGCCGAACCTGAAAGCAATGAGAGATAAATTTTCCAAAGCCAGATTTGAACCAGGCCCGAATGTACCTTGCCAGAGTGCTCAAACTGACAAATCAGTGAGCTCTGCACAACGCAAACCCAACACAATATAAAACTCATGCAAAGCACCAGCTTCACACAACCAATATCCTCTACTGTAAAAGCCATTATTCTAACGAGGCGCATCATGCATAACGATTTCCCAAAATTGACTAGTTTACGTGTACCAAAAGGTAACGATTCTGTCTCATCCTCAACGCTCAATAGGACAGTATATGTATCGATTTCTGTACAGATATACATAACGATTTCTATTTTAACGACAGATTGCTCCTCGTTAACTCGTTAGAGTTAGCACTTCGTTATATATATATGGCTTTTACAGTATTCTACCGACATGTTCTGTTTGTCGATGCATGTCGATAGCTACAACAGTTACTGCTATCGGCATGGACTGACTTTTAAAGAGTGCGAGCGTACAAGACGTCGCACACTTGATCTTTACAGCAGAAAGCACTTTCAAAACCCGTTTCTATCTACAATCTGTTGTATTCCTTTTTTTTCATTTGCAGTCGTTCAACTATCCTTGTGGAAATGAAGACCGGTGACAATCAGCTGTTGGTTTACAACCCTGGCGACCATCTTGGTGTTTGTCCGGAGAACAGCACTGAACTGGTAAGCCGCTAAGCCAGATATACTCTCTTTGCCAGGGGTACTAGGGAAATGAATACTGACCTTTAAAAGCTATGGCAAAGACCTTGGGTTGTGCTGACGTAAGTACATGCATTCAAAGCATGAGTGACTACCGGGGGGAAAATACTGTCTTATAGGTGACCTTGGATTGCGCATACATACATGTAAATACATGCCTTTTAAAGCATGCATGACTACTGAGTGTGAGGTGGTACTCTCCTGAGCATCAGCTTATCAGTTGGCAGGCCCAGCATGTTCTGCTGTTGCTGCTGCGACTATTGACGCTGTTGCTGTTGCTACCGTGGGTGTGTTTGTGTGTGTGTGTGTGTGGGGGGGGGGGGGGGGTATGCTGATGGTATTAGTGGTGCTGCTGCTATGTTCTTTTGTTGGTATTGTGGAAACAATTGTTCCCGTTGCTGCTGCCGCTGTTGCCGTTTGTTGCCGTTACTTCCGCTCCCGAAGTCACAACTGCTGATGATACTGCTGCTATTGTTGTTCTGTGTGTGTGTGTGTGTGTGTGTGTGTGTGTGTGTGTGTGTGTGTGTGTGTGTGTGCGTGTGTGTGTTTGCATTCCCAGGTTGAGGCAGCGCTGAGCAAGCTGAAGCTGGACGTGGACCCGGACGCTACGCTTCTCTTTGAAGTTCAGCAGCGCGGCGAAGACGGTCAGTTTTGTGTGTGCGGGTGCTGCATTGGAGGAAAGTCTATACATGAATATAGTGCTATGTTTTTCAAGTGCACTCGCCATGTTTGTACTCGCACTCAACTAAAGTAAAGCTAATCCAGGTAGACCTCTGCTTCATCAGTTTGAAGGAAAAGTTGCAAACGGGAACCCCTTCTTTCCCAAATACACTGACATCATTGGAGTCTTCATGCCAAGTCAATTCACTGTGACCGACCAAGAAAGTGCTCTTTCAATGTTGTGCTGTTACACCCCCCCCCCCCCTCTTTGCCATACACCTCTGTTTCCAGGAAACTATAACAATGAGTGGGTTGCGTCGCAGCGACTACCAGAGCCATGCTCACTGCGCCATGCTTTGACATCATACCTGGACATCACGTCACCGCCCACACCGCAGATGATCTCGTTCATGGTGTCACTGGTCGACAAAGATGCGGTAGGGATAAATCAATGCTGGCCACTTTGTTACAGTGCAAGGGGTGCAGCGGTAAAATAAGGCGTGGATCCTTTGAAGGATCAGTGCCATTTTGTCTTCCCTTGTACAATGGTAGATTCCAAATACTGTGCTTGCACATCTCGTACGTAAAACAAAATTCCCTTTCCCTTATCATTCTGATGGCTGTCTAACTCTAAATTGTATTTTTTCTCTTTCCTCAGCCTACTGCCGATGCTGATAAGACGAAGCTGGAAGCATTGGCAAAGGTGAGCTCATTTTCGTAGTTATATTTCCACTACACGGCTATGTACTGCCAGGGGCGTCGGAAGGTATGTTAGTGTGGTATCGTCAGCCATCTGAAGTGCAATTTAGTCGTGGGGAGGGGTGGCTGAGCCTGAAACCTTTGGGAATTCAGAGCCCAAATGAATGCATTCTATTAATTCACGGGGTACCTGGTCCTGGTACCTGTACTGTCAATACCGTAGTGGACCGTACCGTGTCCGACGCCCCACCCCCCCCCCCCCCTGGCTGCCCATGGTCGGATTGGGATTTTGGTCATTGTTTCACCTACATAAGCAAGAAAACCTACTTGGGCTTAGGAGTCTATGATCGTTTGCGAGAGCACATGATGCTGCAGCTAGTGAATGTAATGTTAGTCCGTAAGGGGATGTAACAATTTGTTTTGTGTTTCTGTGTTGGTGTGCGCAGGGCTCCGATGCGTACGAAGACTGAAGTACGACAAGTTGCGACGCTGCCGGAGTTCCTGGACGAGTTCCCTCTCTTAAGATACCCGTCTCGCTGATCATCGCTCAGTCCCACTGTTGCAGGCGGTAAGCTGCGGGTTTTTTTTCAGGAGGCTTTCGGTGTGATTCTACCAGGTCTCAGAGCACTGCACATGCATTTTTAAGCCCATAAACCTTCAGACATGGATGCATAGTGAAGGCCGCACAGCGACGGTGGTAGTGATATACGACCAGTCCGTCTGACCGTAGGTCTCAGAGTCTTTGCTAGCTGTGTGCAGCAGGCAAGATTCTACGTCGGTAAAAGAGAAAACAAGAGTATTACAGTACAAGTATAATAATTAAGTATAGTAAAACCTGTGACTAACAACCACCCCTTAGGGCCAGAGAAAGCGGTCTTTAGTGGCAGGTGGTCCTTAGTTTAGAGGTTTGGCGCCGCACAACCTTAATAATATATGAATGTGGGATCGTCAGCACCTGGCGAAGTGGTCTGTAGTACCAGGCTGGTCGCGACTCGCTAGTCACGGTGGTCTTTAGTTACAGGTTCTACTACGTGCCAATGTAACTGCAAGGGTGGTGAGGTGAGAAAATGTGTAGCTCATGAATTGAACCATCCCTGACGTGTACCGGCTGAGGAAGAATTATTATGAACACTTTTAACTGTGCAGCAAATGTGGCTGCATTGGATTTCACCTGCATTGTCTGCACAAAAAAAGCCCTATGCGTACCTGATTTACTCAGTTGAATATGAAGAAGCAGCGCTGTATTATAACTGGTGCTGTGTATAGTCAATACTCTCAGCCATACTCATTTCCACGATTCTGCCCATTCTGCTGTAGCGTTTCTACTCGATTTCTTCATGTCCGAAACTCTGCCCCGGCGAAGTCCACCTCACTGTTGCTGTGGTGACCTATACGACCAAGGCGGAAACGACACATCACGGCGTGTCATCGACATGGATGAGCAAACTGAAGGAAGGTGACAAGGTCTCCTGTTTTGTCCGGAAGTGAGTCGGTTGAAAACGACCTTCATTGGTGTTGTGTGTGTGTGTGTGTGTGTGTGTATGTGTGTGTGTTTTCTGTGTGTGTGTGTGTGTGTGTGTGTGTGTGTGTTTGTCTGTGTGTGTGTGTGTGTGTGTGTGTGTGTGTGTTTGTGGCGATTGTTGCAATCGAAAGCCAAGAGCTTTCTCTTCGACCTACACATTTCGATTGTGAGAATCGAGTAAGAATTGACGGGGTTACAATCATTTGAACATACCCGCGTGAATTCTCATCAATACGCGACCTACAGTTATCCCGTAATTGTCCGGGCTGAGAGCCTGGGCGTCATCTAGAACCCCGTAACAGTACGGGATCAGCAGTCAAAGGGGTTTTAAGTGACACGACTGGATTGCATTGAGCAGTGCTGTGTATCTGTTAGGCACCTATTCCTCCCGTACAATCTACCGCTCCCAAACTGGCCTGCATTCACCCGTATTCACGCTCGTCCTTACATTTTGTTCCATTGGCCTGGGTAGCTACTCGCACGCCTATATTTTCCATAGCTACCCAGTTCCTTTATCGTGCATTCTCTCATTCAATCACTCTCCCTTTCTCTCTCTCTCTCTCTCTCTCTCTCTCTCTCCCTCCCTCTCTCTCTCTCTCTCTCTCTCTCTCTTCTCTCTCTCTCTCTCTCTCTTTCTCTTCTCTCTTCTCTCTCTCTCTCTCTCTCTCTCTCTTCTCCTCTCTCTCTCTCTCTCTCTCTCTCTCTCTCTCTCTCTCTCTCTCTCTCTCTCTCTCTCTCCTCTCTCTCTCTCTCTCTCTCTCTCTCTCTCTCTCTCTCTCTCTCTCTCTCTCTCTCTCTCTCTCTCTCTCTCTCTCTCTCTTCTCTCTCTCCCCCATAATGTAGTCGTTCGTCTTTGTCTCCGTCTCCTCGTCCCCCATAATAAATGCCGCTACTCCTTCCTGTCCCAAGTGGTTTCGTTGTATCTGAGAGTATGACCCTTTCCGTTACACAACATATCACTCATAATCACACTATTATCCTCTTTGCCGCCACGCTATGTTGTTGTTCAGGGCACCGTCGTTTCACTTACCGGAAGACTATCAATCACCCGTTATCATGGTGGGTCCAGGAACAGGCATTGCTCCGTTCCGCTCCTTCTGGCAGCGTCGTCTCTATCTTATCCAGTACCATGGCAACCAGAAGACTGAAGAGTAAGTCGCACAGGAAAAAAATGATTACACATGGGCACAGACACAGGCACACATGTACATATACAACGGCACACACACACGTACACATCAAAAATACCTGCACACACACACACACACTCAGGCAGCACACAGTCAAATTACGACTAACCACATATTCCAACATCTTAGCAGGGTTTAGGACAGGCAATTTCAAGATTGGCTTTTCCCCAGTCCTCTCCGTCAAGTTAGACGTTCCTAAAGGCATTGTACATTTTTACTTGGAAATTTACTGTATGCACAACCTGACATGACGTCGGGGATCAGTGTTGCCAAATATAACCATGCACAGTGTTGGCTAATCGTTATTAAACATTCCACATCATTTCCCTGATGTCTGCTCTTTCTTTACCTCCCCCTCTCTGCCCAAGTCTGCTCTCTATCTCCCTGGTATCGGATTTCCATGTGTGCTAGTCATCTATTGGGTGTCTGTTCTCTCTTCCTGGTGTCCGCTCCACACCCCCCCCCCCCCTCCCATTTCCCGATGTCTGCTCTCCATCTCCCTTGTGTCCATTCCCCACCTCCCTAACGTCTGCCATTCATCTCCCAATGTTCACCCTTCAACGTGTGAACATGTACTTGTAGTCATAATATTATAACTACACTACATAGCACCTTGTACACTGATACCTCGGTTATTCGGACCCCGAAGTGCACGTAACTTCGGTCTGCCGAACACCATTTGGACAAGTTTCAGTAAAAATATTACCACTCTTTTGTCACTTTTTCCAGGATTAGTGACGTCATATGCCATACTAGTATCTATGGCCTATCCCCATCAACATGTACGTGATTCGGAGTTTTTACGTACATTTCAAAGTTACGTGCAGTGCCCGGTGCTGGACCGCCCGGATAAACGAGGTATGAGTGTACTTAGCTGCTTTTCATCTCACCGCTGACGTCTTCTCTTTCTCCCTTGCGCAGGGCTCGCCGTCGCCACGCTTCAGAGACGAAAGCGCCGCGGGGCGTGGATGTGCGCGAGACTGGTCTCGGCAAGATGAAGCTCTTCTTCGGCTGTCGCCACGACCAGATCGACAACATCTACCGGACGGAGATCGGCGAGAATCTGCTCGAGGGATCTCTGACCAAAGTCTGCTATGCTTTCTCCAGAGATCCAAGTCATCCTAAGGTACAGATGTTGCCGCATTTTCCGGAGTATAAGTTGCACCCAGATTTGCTGACACCAAATACAGACCTCTACCCCGGTTTATCACCGTTAAGTTGACCATCGTAGTAGAAACAACAACGATTTGTTTGGGCGAATTACTGGTGTTGAAAGTGCGTCTTATACGCCGGAAAATATGGTAGTTCTTGCCTCGTACTAGTATACTTGGTTGATATGTGCGCAATGTAATGAAATGATCAAACCCTGAAATTTCAAAAATCCAAGGATAAAAGAGCTACGTAATGTTTCCAGTGAAGGAGGCTATGGCTGACTCTCAAGTCAAAATTTAATAGGTTCAGTATCATGTCCTCTATGTGTATGTGTGCGTGTGTGTGTGTGTGTGTGTGTGTGTGTGTGTGTGTGTGCGTGCGTGTGTATGTGTGTATGTGTGTGTGTGTGTGTGTGTGTGCGTGTGTGTGTGCATGTGTGTCTGTGTGTGCATATGTGTGCATGTGTCATGTTTGTGTGTGTACAGCAATACGTTCAGCAGAGGATCGAGGCGGAAGGAGAAGCAGAGCAGCTAGTCACCGATATCTGTGAGAACAACGGCCACATCTTCGTGTGCGGTGATGTGTCCATGGCTGACCGTGTTGGTAGGTCATTCCAGGTAAGATATACATCAACTGCCTCTCCCATTCCACCTCACCTCCCACCCCCTCCCTTCCCCCCCCCCACTCTTCTTACCCTTGTCCGCCCCTTCTCCCTTCCCCTTTTCCACTGCAGTAAGATCGGGCGCCGAAGAACGCAGGGGCTCGAGCGCAGCCTAGGAAAGTTCTTAAATTTTTGATTCTAGCCAGACCGTTCTTATTCACACGCGCGCTGCGAGTCGAGTGACGTCATGGCGTTTGTCATGTACATGTACATGTACGTGTAGTGCAATGACTTATTATATTATTAAGTTATTATGACTACATTGTAGTACTTCTAAACTAGTGGGTGTCGTAAATGGGAATGACTGTACATGTAGCAGTTACTGTTTACACATACTGCACTCATGTGGAAATTCCAAATTTTAAAAGTGTTCTTAAATCTGATAATTCTAGCCTGGACTGTTCTTAAATTTTGCCGGTTTTCCAGCCTGGGTGTTCTTCGGCGAGGTGTTCTTCGGCGCCCGATCTTACTGTATGGTACTCTGCCACGATGATTCAAAGCCTTAAATACGAAAATCAACCAATCAAAGGATGCCTGGATTACTTGGGTTGCCTGGGAAACCTGGCTTTACTAAGTTTGCCTAGGTACCTGGGTTTAAAAATTACACGGGTTCATGTCCGGACGGGTCAAGAACCACCTTTCCGCTTCCGCGAGACACACCACCCCATGATCAGGCGTCAGATGCGGCTCCTAAATGGTGGGGAGGATGGATCAGATCCACCAACGAGATGCCAAAGGCCGAAATCCCATTTGCCATGTTTTTCTCCTGGGTTGCCTAGGTAACCCAGGTGTGTAATTCAACTGAATGTGTACTATGCGCTGACTGCTTCAGAACATCCTGGTCACCAATGCTGCCATGTCCACCGAAGAAGCCGGTGCATATCTAGCCGAGATGAAGGTTAGTCAGCATGTGCATCTCGGTGTATGTGTGTGTGTGTGTGTGTGTGTGTGTGTGTGTGTGTGTGTATCTTGGTGTGTGTGTGTGTGTGTGTGTGTGTGTGTGTGTGCGTGTGTGTGTGTGCGCGCGTGCATGTGTGTGTATGTGTGTGTGCGTGCGTGTGTATTTGTGCATGTGTTTGTGTGTGTGTGTGTGCATGTGTGCGCACACGCATGCGTGTGTGTACGTGTTTTGGGAGGGATGCGTCAGTTCATGTGATACATAATAGCAGATTGAGTGTGATACATATATGAAGGCACCTCGAGTATTTACCCTAGGGGCCATTGGAGATCACCCGGATATAGTGCAGCTGGGCATGCACTTCTCGTCATACATCCACTCTCTGCTTACCTTGAAGAGAAATCAGCACTTGCTAACACAGTGCCAGGGACGGATTATACAGCAGTTCCAGCGATGCACCATACTCCAGTCGTGAAACTTTATCCACCAAATCTAAATTGAAATATTGTTCACATTTTAATGAGCACATTGCCTTCTCTGGGCTGCACTTGGAAATTAATTTGATCAAGACTCTTGACAAGAGTTCACAACCCTAAGAGTATGCAACTCTTTGCACGGGGCCTGGCGCTATGCACTGCCCACAGTGCATAGTCGTGAACTGGTGAATCAGCTACTATTGATCTACTGCAGTGTCCAATTTCCAAGCACGCTTTTCTCGGCAACTTTAAAAGCTGGTTTCGTACATAATGTGTCATGCACAGGTGGTGCCTTTGAACCTACCAGGTGAAACCGTTGCTGCCTACCCCGAAAAATACGAAATCCAGGCAGCTTGATAGTCATTCCACTATGTCAAGAAGGCAGCGCACCTCACAGGGCACCCATAGCTAGGACACCAGAGCTTTCCACTCTTGGGGTTATGTACTCTTTTTTCAAATGTGTATCTCAGTTAAAAAATCATCTACCGCGTGGAAGTTGAGCTGTTTAATGTTTGTCTAAAGACGCCGATCACCTCAGTAAACGTTCTTCTCGGGAAAGTGCAACAAACGATGAGCGCATTGCATGTTTTTGAAAACCCCTTTCCCGTACATACACTACTCTGCAGGCCACTGGTCGCTATCATGAGGACATATTCGGAGTGACGTTGAAGACGCAGGAGGTCACCGACAGCAAGAGGGTTGCGGCAAGGCGGTAAGTCGGTGAATCATCGCGTTCCGCTTTTTAAAATCCTGGGCTGCGAAAGCCAGCTGCACATACCATTCTGTAATCTCCACCTGTATCAGTCGTTTATGGGCGGAAAGAGGAGAGTTGCATTTTGAAAAACATTGATAGCTGAAACATCAATCCATGCTAGATGTCAAGACACATAGTGTACATTTTTCGTTCAGGGTGGCCTAAACGGAAATACGTAATTGTGAACCGACGGTTTTTGTGTGTGTGAAGATTCTGTTTCTTCAGCTACAGGGGTTCGCACATGGTACGGTCACTACGGTATTGACCGTACCACTATTTGCCCCAAGTATCCCGTGAATCAATAAAATGCACTGATTTGGGCTCTAAATTTCCAAAAATTTCGGCTCAGCCATCTCCCCCACGAGTAAATTGTACTTCAGATGGCTGACAGTACCACACTAAAATACCTTCCGACGCCCCTGAGCTATGTCACTGATGTTCAGAGGTGTCGGTGGTAAGAGTTGCTTGGTGCACTTTGTTGCTTCCTTGCGTATGTGTTATGCGTACATGACCGGTGTACTGTGTGGGTGTGTGCGTGTGTGTGTGTGTGTGTGTGTGTGTATGTGTGTGTTTGCGTGTGTGTGTGTGCGCCTGTGTGTGTATGTGTGTGTTCGTGTATGTATGTATGTACGTATATGTCCAGACTGTGGCTCATGAATGTCAAGGCACGAGCAATGGTCAAGGTAAGACTGATTTTATCTGCAAAGAGGTACCGCATTGTTAGACACGGCTGGAGAGCCAAGGAGTAATTTACAAGAAGAAAAGAGAATCAAGGAGCTACAAGTTACACTGCGTAGAACGTCAGTACCGTTGGTCAATGCCGTGCAATGTTATCACATGAGCTGATTGTACAGTAACTGGTGGTGTTAGTGGACAGTATAGGTACCGTGGTATTAGTGGACAGTATAGGTACCGTGGTGTTAGTGGACAGTATAGGTACCGTGGTGTTAGTGGACAGTATAGGTACCGCATTGTTCAGGTGATACCTTATAACCTTTTATGACCTAAAACCAAAGTTAAATGGGAGTAGTCGACGTACAACCGAAGTTTAACCACTATTGATGTTATTGATCTTTAATTAATGCGTAAATCCAGGCCCCAAGTATTGGTGCTGTGTACCGTGTGTAACTTTGTACCGTGTGTGTGTGTTTGTGTATGTGTGTGTGTTTTGTGCATGTGTGTGTGTGTGTGTGCGCATGTGTGTGTATGTGCGCGCATGTGTGCTTGTGTGTGTGTGTGTGTGTGTGTGTGTGTGTGTGCTTTTGTGTGTGTGTGTGTGTGTGTGTCGGTGTGCTTTGTGTGTGTGTGTGTGTGTGTTTTGAACGTGTGTGTATATGTATGTGTGCCTGTGTGTGTCTTTATGTATGTGTGTATGTGTTTGGGTATGCGTATGTCTGTATGTTTGTGTGCGTGCTTTTCAGGGCAAGACCAATATCCGGCCTGTCCCATCAATGGCGGTAAGATACCCAAAGTGTCCATTGAATCCCGGAACTAACCCTGTCTGCTACCAGTAACATCATTTTTCGTTTTGACATTGAAAGTAGAACAAGCATTTTGATCTGCAGCCCTAGTTTAAAACAATGGATCAATATCATGTGAAAGCGGAGCTGCAGCGGGTCAAAGCCTTGTTCTGTGTTCAATTTCAACACGAGCACAACAATCTACGTGAATGGAGGAGAGTGTCCAGCTATCATTAATGCCAGCCGTAATTATCGATCTTTTTCACTAAGAGAAAAAGTTTCGTTTATGGGTCACCGGTGGGTGGGTTGAGGAGAGTTTCGTTTTGAAATCTATCGATAGGTGAAACATCAACCAGTATCCATAGTTGCTCATTGCTGTTTTCTGATGATCGATTAGTGCTTGAAACTCGGAGTAAAAAAGAACTTTTTTCATCCTCTTGTTATCGTTTGAACTAGCTCTGCCGTTCAGTATTGAGCACTTTATTAGACAGCCTGGAACCTCTCTGTTTTATCTAGAACCCGTATGGTGTTGTCAACCGTCCTGCTCCGCTGTGTGTTCTGTGCCCCGGTGTTGTGAACAGCTCGCTGGCCGGCGCACCAGCGGTGGATCGAGCAGCGGCGGCGGCAAGATGAACATGATGCCACGTCGCTCGCTGACCAAGCAGCAGCAACCCCGCCTGGCCCCGCCCAAGCGCATCTCCAGCGGCAGCGCAGAGGGAACGTCGCCACGGCAATCGCAGACAAGCCCAAGGCCGAGCGTCGAAGAAGTGCCCGAGGACCAGGAGAACAATTAGGACGGCAAGAGCAAGGTGATCAGATGTTCTGTTTGTTACTATTGATTGAAATCTTCCGTACAAGGTTCTAGCACGTCTTTCGCTTCCATTCCCGACCTCATATTTTAGGACTGCAACAGCAGTTGACCAGATTTTCTGTCTATTGATTGAAATCTCCAGTACAGGGTTCTAGCATACTTTTTGCTTCAATTCCCCGACCTCATAGTCAAATCTCACATGGAATGCATGTGCCTAAACAAGATGTGGTGTTTCAATGCGTGTACCTTCATAGTAAAGAATTTCCAAATTTCTCTCATTTCTTTGCAGACTTTCATTGCCGAGTTTCAGTGGCTCTTGCCTAAGTCTGTCTCTGATTAGAACGGAACACTCCGAGTAGTAAACATACAACTCTATTCTCCGTCTGTTGTTTCTGCACTGTCATCAAATAATTGATATTAAATTGTATGAAAATTTTTCATCTTCATACAAAGGCACACCGAATAGAGATAAAGTAATCGGTGTTGTTAGTGTGTATCACAATGTTACCTGTACTTCCTTGGTCCTCAGTTTCTTTGCCATGAATTATTCCATGGCTCTCCATCCACGAGTATGATAATAAAATGTCTTTGTTTGTATCAATTACTTTAATAGCTCATGGCCGGTGTCAACAGGTTAGCCCCTGGCCGGTATGCAGGCATTGTCAACAATAACAACCATAAGGCCCCGGTCACACCGAAACAAGCCACTTTGGGCTTGTTATCGCTGGCGCTCAGCTGGCTTGCGTGATCCCGGTGACACGGTCACACCAGACCTTGAGTGCAAAGCTTGAATGGCTTGTTTTTCTTACCCGCCAAATTTTGAATATCTCGAAACACACCAATGTTTGCAAGAAACTGGAGAGCAGAACGTTCGCGATCTAAAACTGTACTTGTTCTAGTGTTCAGTTTTGATGAAGAAGCGAAGGAAGCCCGGATTCTGAATTGCGAAGTCGTGCTCTTTTTATTTGTTCGGTGTGCATGGACGCGATGGTTCGGGTGGTGTTTCCTGATGTCGAGCTTTCTGCCCCGCCGGTTGCCATTATTGAACTCAGTTGCAAACAACTCCCTTCTTCGTACCCGGCTTTCTTCATGAATTCGGTCGTGAGTGTGGTGCCTTGTCTTGGCCTCAAACCACAGCTCCAACAATCTACGCAGCAGTCTAGAGGCACAGCGGCAGAAATCCATGGTCGTTGGACAAAATCCAAATCAAACTGAATACAGTGTAGTTGGGGTAGACAGACTCACGGTCAAAACCAAAGGCACAGGAATAGCACGGTTCCACGGACACAAGAAAGAACATCAATAATATCAGTTCATCATGTCAACTAGCTACATGGTGTGCTCCGGAGCTGGCCGGCTGTTACGCATGCATTGAATGCGGCCAGAATCCTCTGGGCACGAGGCCGCAGGTGACCTGCTGAGAATGCGTTGAGGACCTCTTGACATGTTTGAAATTTGTCCTTGACAGCCTCATTGTTTTAGGGAAGTATCTCACGAGTTGCCGTCGTGTTAGGGGCCCCGAGTATTGTTTCAGGCCGATTACTACGAAGATTTTGGTGTTTTACACTCACGTGCAGCTTGTTCTCTCAAAAGAAATTGTCGAAGTCGAAATAGTTGTCCGTGCCGGATCGTTCTTCTTCTTCTTGTGCTTCACTGTGTGGATGTCATCGATGGTCTCCAGCAACTTCTGGCAGCTATTAGTGTGGGTGCCTCGTTTTTGTAAACTTCAGTTCTTGTTGGAGTACGAAGGTAAGGTCTTTATGTTGTGTGAGGAGTCGTCCTCGTAGCTTTACGCTCCTTTACGATTGTTTTTTCAGGCCAGTTTGTAATTGCCTGTCTAAAAATATAAAATACCAAAAACAATCTTATGGATAGGCATAGGGAGCTACTTCGCCAGATGTGCCGTGTTAGTGGTTGTAAGTTTAGTAATATAGCGAAGAAAGGCGTCTCTAAGAAATATGCTGTGTCGGATCATATTACTGAGTTAGAATCTTGTTTTCCAACTATTAAAAAAGACCAAAAAAATGCTGATGTATATCCTGAATTATTTTGTGCGTCATGCATGGCAGTTGTACGACGGTATAAGAATGCTCAGGAGAATAAAGAGAGGTATGCAAGGATTAGTGGGGGGGGGGGGGGTGTGTGGGGGGGGGGGCAATGAAACTGTGGGAGGCACAGGATAGTAACTGTAGTGTTTGTGGGTCGGGTGTGATTGGACGACCGCCCAAACTTGCAAAATGTGAGGTGCCGTTTGCAAAGCCATCACCCATCCCCATCAGCACCACCCTGACTCCTGTTGACAATGTCACCGAAAAAGCGACTGGTAGCTTGAAAACTGGTGCTGACCTTGTCCCAAGTCGCTTTCGTGAGCAGCATGAACAATAATTGTTTATTAATGTGTGGCATTTGTTCGTTGTTTGTAGACGCTGCTCTGGAAACACCATGCTGCAAACATTTGTTTTGTGCGAAGTGCATTTCATGTTGGCTGGAGCAAAGCACGAAATGAAGATGCACTTTGTCTAGATAATTTAGTGTCACCACATACTATTGTGGCTGACATCATCAAGCAGTCAGTCTTGAAGTGCGATTTCTACGAGGCGCCGCTAACAGGCTGCCCAGTGCAGGTGAGGCTTTGCGACCTAAAGAGCCACGTTGAGAATTGTTCTCACAACCCAAGCACCCCCCCCCCCCCCCCCCATCCACTCCTATTCAGAGAGTAGTGTCTGAATCCTCCACCATTGGTGATGTTCTAGCCGCTTCCCTGGGAAAGTGTTTGATGCCCTGACTAAACGTGTTGTCGAGAGCAGTGCAGAGGGTGACAGACTTGAGAGTTGAGGCCCGTGGAGGTGGTGGCTCTCCTGCTGTTTGGACCAGCACCCCGGTTACAAGGGTGTCTTCCACCAATTGCAGTGGTCGTACTGCACGGAGACGGTCATCCATGACGTCCTCCTTTACACATTGCAGGAAAAAGTGTTAAGTGATCTCTGTTCTGCACCCGCACATGTCATCTCCAAGAGAGCAGAGGCTAGTGCAGAAGGTGCGAGTGCAGGACAGAGAGATCAAATGATGTGTTTAGTGCAAGCTGCTACTGTTGTTAAGGACCGCTATGTTTCATTATTTTCTAAATTTGCAGCTTGTCATGTAGGATTATCCACCAGTGTAAGTCCGAATGTTAACTCGCTCTCACAACTGCGTGCCAATATTTCTGTTTTTCTTGCAGCTTGCCGCAGGAAGTTGTCTCGCGTGGTCGTGGCAACGTCACACCAAAGCTTCACCTTCTTGAGGCCCATGCAGTCAGCTGCTTGGAAAATTTACAAATGGGCATGGGGCTACTGAATGAGCAGGGGGCAGAGTCCATCCATGCTGCCTTCAATCAGCTGGAGCGAAATCATTCCTCCATACGAAACACGGCTAACCGGCTGTATGCATGTGCACAAGCACACATCTTGAATGCGCTGCCACAGCACACTCTGCTTCTGCCACGGACGCAGAGACGCAAGCGTAGCAGAGAGCCCTGAACATAGCACTAGTACATTCCGACGACCACGTGTGTTGTGCGTTATTTTGTGTGCGTCGTGTGTACGTGGTGTTGGTGCATGCGCGTGTTGCGGTGGTGTGAAAAGCAGTCTTCGTTATTACAAGACGACTACGGAAAAACAACTGGACATGACGAACTCAAGACGAAGACTGCTTTTCACACCACAGCAACCTGGCAACACACGCATGCACCAACACAACGTAAACACGACGTACACACAATAACGTACTACAACACATATACACGTACTACTACTTCTACTATTGTAGCTTATTTCCAGCCTGAGGTTGTTGGTGCACAGCAAAATTCCATCCTCTGTGCTGTGCCAGAGCTTCAGTTTGTATCACTGTGGAAGCGTGTGAGTGGCGGGTTTCCTCAGGCTGGCAATTCGCTGCATCACTGCAATATGCTTCTACTGTTAGTGTTATAGCTCCAAGCAGTGACTACAGGTACCGGGTATTAAAGCTCGAGGAGGGCAGGTAATAATCACAATGGTCATGCTTCGTACGATTGGTCGTTCCGAGATCCTGGGCTGACCCCATGTGTTGATTCCATAGAACCAGCGCTGCCAGTGTCCCTCAACTAAACTGGCAGTCCGTTCAAAGTTTAGACAGATGAAGCACTACACCATCTACTTTTATTTCTGTTCAAAATATCCAAGAAATCACAAAGTACAATTCCATGAACGAGATGCTTCGAAGACGAAAACAAATCCAATGACAATGTTCAATGCTCCTTTCCAAAAAAAAGAAAAAAAATCGTAGACCTAGATTCGAGTCCACGATCAAAGCGGCTTCATTTTGCTCGCGTGACTCCAGCGGCCATCTTGGATTCTGGCCGCGTCGTAACAGCCGTGGGAGCTCCAAGCGCACTCAAATTATTTTTTGAATTTCGGCTTTCAGCCGCTTGTACAAGCTGTGGCTGAAACAAGCCGGAAAAAAACGGCTGAGAGTCAGCCACGGCTGAAAGTCGCTGTAGGACATTTTTCAGCCATTTCCATGGTAATAGTGACGTAAACAAGCGCTTGTTTCGGCTGAACGGCTGAATCGAGCTCGGTGTGACCGCGGCCTAAGGCCTGGCCAGAGAAATTTGTCATGAAGTTGGTTGTTCCAACGAGGAACACACGAAATTTGACTGCATGAATTAGTATTTTGACTGCATGAATTTGACTGCGGCCTTAGCACCACACAAACGCATGCGCACGTGCACACACACACACACACACTCACCTCAGACCTCAGACATGCCCATCGCGGAAGCACACTCACACACACACACACACACACACACACACACACACACACACACACACACACACACACACACACACACACACACACACACACACACACACACACACACACACACACACACACACACCACACACACTCGGATTCACAATGAAACAACACCATGCAGCTCTGGGAGTCCATGATCCATGCATCGCCATCCATCTCTAAAGAATTCCTTTGCTGATCTGCCATGCGTGCAGCGCTGGCTTGCACATGCATACATAGTGCCCATATGCATAGCGAATCCACAGAGAAACCATTCACATTCGATTCATGCCATCATGGTAGTCATAACCTCTATTGTAGAGTCAGACGATACATACACACTAGTACTACTAGTCATTACTCATGTACATACACAAGATGATCCTTGATGGTATTCAATGCAGTGGACACAAACTTCCACCCAAACACACCGTCAGTCACAAAAGGCCACACGAGACGAGACTACGAAAGAGTACTATAGTAATCGAAAGAGTAATCGAGTGCTCAATAGTAGTAGTACTACTGCCAATACTCTTCCTTGTATCAGGTTACAGAACCCTACACAATTTTCATTTTTCAGATTCCACAATGATTATCGTGGATACAGCATGCAATGGACCAAGGTGGGATTCTATGTGGATGCAGGCAGTGACTGCAGTTTCAGCTTACGCACAAGCAGACCCGCTGCCAACACGGCAACAGTGGCGCTCACAATCTCCAGCAAGTCACACACACACACACACACACACACACACACACACACACACACACACACACACACACACACACACACACACACACACACACACACACGCACGCACACACACTCTTGCAGCATGCACACACCACGGAGGTCATAACCAGACCGTTGACTTTTTTTACAAGATGTTCAACAACAAAGTGAGCCTTGGCAGCAAAACATACTTTGAGCAAAACAGAGCTTGGCTCCCTGCGCACTAAAGAGCATACATACGAGCCAGCAGCAGAAGTAGTAACCGAGACTCGAGCAGGCACGCCGCACTGTGCCTCGACGAGCTGGAAATGATACATTCTGCCCCGGCCCGGGGAACGCTGGATGTCCTCAGCCGGTGCTCAGTAGCAGTGCAGGCGCAAAGAAGTGTTTTAAAACAGCAGACCAAGAAGATCCTACAACGTCATCGTGAGTAGTGGTCAGTCGCGTGTGACACCATCGCAATAACTAGCAGCCGTTTGGGTAACAGGGTTCAGAAAGAGGAGGAGGCCTGGGGATCTAAGAAATGAGATGCAGACACTCCAGGCCGTGAGATAGAGGGCCCTAGTCTAGAAGATCTACTATAATCAGCGAAGAAGACATGGCAGCGGGATGTTCAGAATCAATTACTACACAGCAGCACAAGACAGCATGCCAGCCGGGCACAAAAAACACATACACACGAGACAGATAGATTCTCGTTGCGAGCGAAGACGAAACGACGCGCGGTTCTATCAGCGATACAAACCAGACTGGCAGAGCTGTGCTGCGCCGATGCACAGGTAAGGGGATGGCGACGGGGGAAGTGAAATTTAATCTATGTGTGAGTTCTAGGGTGCATGTGCCAAACGCATCTCTACGAGGCGAATGAAGCCGGACGCAGATGGGGGTAAACAAAAAAACAAACAAGAGAAAAAAGAGCAGCTATGCAGCGCAATGCAAAAAAAGTGTGAGCGGGCAAAGAGAGACACAGACTTTCCTGCGTGTGTGCGTGTGTGCGAATGCAAGTATGTTACCCAGCTGACACGGCTGAAGCGATGGGGCACAAAAAAACGACAAACAAAATAGGATAGCGAACATGAGGTCCAATGAATGGGGACCGAGAAATAAGAACAAACCAGCGGAGAATTAAAATAATTAGACATCACTAGGATTGTGAATTAGGGGAGGAGGTTCCAGAAATAGAACGATGGCAGCCTACTCTTTTTTTTTCTTTCGTCAGTTCTCACCTCTCATCTGGCTCTCAGGGTCGCCATCACAATCTCAGTGCGTGGGAGCAACATCATCATCGTTGTTGTCGTCGTCGTCGTCGTCATCACTCACTCATTCAACCTCATCACTCACTCTCTCTCAGTCTCAAAAGCGCTGAATGGATCGTGTGGATGTGCAAAGTATGTGGGGAAAATAACAAAAGGATGAAAACAGCACAAGACTGGGCAGTACACATACAGGATGGGTGGGTGGGGAGGGGGAGGGGGGGGGGGGAGTGACAGTGGCGCCGAAAATCAAAATACAGACGGTTGTCTCACAACGATCAAGGCGATCGGGTCCATCTCGTTGGCTCAAAGGACAGAAGGCAAGGATGAGCTGTTTTGCAGTCGGTCAATGAGCTTGAATCTCATGGTTCAAGGGGGTGACAAGCGGGGAGGCAATAGTAAGACGGAATACAAGTCGGAACAATGTAGGAAGGTGAGGCAGAGTGACACACAACAAAACAACACAAACTACAAAAGCAGCTGCAGCAACAAACAAACAACAAAAAACAGAAGAAGAAGCGGTCTTCACGGGCCAGGGGGGCCAGGGGGGGGGGGGGCAGAGGGGCAGATGGAGGAAGTACGAAACACGCATGGAGTCGGCAAGACATCTAACCTGATTGCAGGCGGGCGGTTGCTCAGTCGGCGGGGCCCGGACGATGAAGGATGATGCGAGGGTGGGCAGCGGATGCACATGGGGGGCATGGCTGGTGATTGTCGTGTTGAAATGCGTTGATCGGAGAATGACAGTTTTTGCAGGGCATGTTCGAACAGGCTACTGGCTGGGTACGACGATACATTTACAGTTCAGCTCATCTGTGCCTTCTACAACAGCGGTCAATGGCACTTCTGCAGCAAGGATGTATAACAACCGTTGTGAATCGTAAACTAAAGTTACTACTGATGGGCAACAAAGAGTCGCGCAGGTCATTTTTTGTCAGTTGCTTGTCCATGGTGAAGGCATGCAGCGATAACAGTAGGGAACACTCCAGCGGTGAACCCATGACAGCAGATAATCCAGGATGAAGACAGTGTAGCCGATGGATGAGTGAAGATACAATGGCGAGGCCAACAGAGGTGGCGACATTGCAGTTACGGTGATATGAATGGCATCGATCGTCGAGCCTTCTTTACCCAGGGTGTGAAGCAACCATAGGGAACACTTGAGCAGTGGAACCACGACAGCAGACAACTCAGGATGAAGACAGAAGACGAGATGCGTGCCGATGGATGAGTGAATATGCATGGAAAGGCCCACAGAGTGGCGACAATGCATTCTGCAGGATATTGTGATATGGATGGCATCAAACGTCGAACATTCTTATGCAGCTACAATAGGGAACACTTGAGCAGTGAAACCGCGACAGCAGACACCCCAGGATGAAGACCGTAGACCAGACATGTGCCGATACACGAGGGACGAGACATGGCAAGCCCCACAGAGCAGTGACAATGCATTTTGCAAGTTACTGTGGCATCAATGGCATCTATCAACGACCCATCTTTCCCGAGGGTACGCAGCAACAACAGCAACGGATTCAGCAGGTTATTGTGATATACGTGGTATCAATTGTCGACTCTTCCTCACCCAGGGTACGTAGCAACGATGTGCAACAAACAAGCATGCACCATAACTATCCGTCACCGAGGAGCAGGAGCGAAATCACAGCGCACCTTCAACTCAGCAACATTGGTCCTCGGCAATGGCTCAACATGGCTACGTCAAAAATGATGTCGAGCATTCAACTGATGGGAAATGAAATGACTCGATCTCCGCTTCGCCTTCACAATGGCCGACATCGGTCCCAGGACATTGCGAAGAGACGCGTGTACACAACAGCGCCATGCAATCAACACCAGCTGGGTGAGGCAAGTCAACGACAGGTGTATGCATAGTCTACGACAGAGGCATGTAGTGCACCACCAGCGCTGTGCAACCAACGATCATGCAGGTAGGAACAGTGAGCAACATCGGGTACGCGTCTTACGATTACAGATTATCAATTAAAACTAAGCAGACACACCTCCTGGCAGTACCTCTGCCCGCGACGAGTGGTGGAGGTGGGCGGTCGCCAGCGAGGTTACTGGTGGTGGGAGTTGGACCAGCACATCTCCTGCCACTTCTGGATGAGGTCCTGCGGGCGCGGCGCGTGGCCTCGCACGTAGACGTTAACATCGCTGGGTCCCTCGGTGCGGCCAATGTACGACGTGTCGTTCTCGTTCAGCTCCACGCACATGGTGGCGGCCAGCATGTTGAGCTGGTAGCGGTCCTCCTCGCGCACCGTGAACATCGTCTGCCGCTCCTCAATGGTCGACTCCAGGTAGCGCTGGAACTGCTCCACGCAGCGCTCGGCGTTGTTGTGGAAGCAGCGGATGCTGATGGCGAACGAGCGGTACTGGCTGGGCAGACCCTTGAATCCACAGAGCTCGTGCTGGTTGTTGAAGATGGCCTGCTGCGAGCCCTTCTGTTGCTGATCCAGGAACATCTTGACTGTGTTCAGGTAGGTCTGCGGATGCTCGCTGGATTGCCACTCCATCGTGTGCTCGCCCTCGAGCACGGCCAAGCGCTCGCAGACGGTGCCTGTCAGGAGGCTGGGCACGCACACCGGGTTGATGCTGACGGCGACGAAGCGGATTTGCTGGCTGATGCTCTCGATGTGCTGATGGATGATGTCGCTGACGTGGCGAACGGCCCCCTCCGTGGGGCCGCTGATCTTGATCTGCTTCAGCACTCCCTGGTCGTCGAGCACCGGGTCACACTTGGCCTTGACGTGGGACGCTGTGTTGGCGATGAGCGAGAGCTGACGCTGGAACAGCTCCTGCGCGATCAGCCGGTCGTTGGGCATGTCCAGCGTGTGCAAGTAGCTCTGTCCGTCAAAGCTGAGCGAGGCCATGCCGTGCACCAGGGCCGCCGTGGGGTCTGCGGCCGCAGCTTGCGACGAGGCCGCGGCCAGTATCTCCGTTGCTCCGGCGTTTGCGCTCGCGCCAGGATTCTGCAAGCTGGCACCGGGGGCGGTAGCCTGCAGCATCAGGCCCTGCTGCGACAGATCCATCACCGTGGCCCCCGCAGAGAATGCGTTCGGATCGGCACCCAGCCAGCTGGCCAGCTCCATCTTCGTCTGCTGCATGACGTACTGGTTGGCCGTCACCATGGCTACAGTGCCTGTGGCCAGATCGACGTCCAGGGCGGCCTTGAAGCGTTCGACCAGCAGGTGGTAGTCCTGTTGTATGTATTGGAAGAGCGTGTTGGCAAAGTCAGTTTGCAGCGTGATGGTGGACTGCGCCATGCGCTGCACACCGTCCAACATCATCGTCAGGGTGTCGGTGGCGGACGTCTCGAAGAAGCCGAGCGCCTCCAGGTACACCTCCACCGGCATGAAGTTGCGGCGCAGGATCGACTCGGTGGCGAAGGCCGTCAGGTCGATGGTGGCAAACTGCTGGTACTTGAAGGAGCCGGGCAGCATGAGGCCCTCGCCGCGCTGCACGATGTGAACCTTGGTATTGTACTGGTTCTCTGCCTGCTCCTTAAGCGACTTCCAGATGTCCAGGACGAGCGGAGCGAGCGACGGCGAGACACTGACGCTGCCTATGCAACCAGACATGTTGCTGGACAACTGGCCGATTTCCGACACCAGGTTGTTGATGTGCCCGGCGTATCCGCTGATGTTCAGAATGCCCGAGCTCCAGTCGGCCGAGGTGCCGAGGGCGACCGCACAATGGCCGTCGCGTGCATCCGTCAGGTAGACGGTTGCGTTGGTAGCGAAGAGCTTAGCGGAGAGCAGCGGCAGCTTGAGCGAGTGCTGCGCCACGCTGTACTTGGCCAGCAGCGACTTGACCTCGTCGATGGCGCTGGTGATGTTGTTACGAGTCAGCGCGCACAGGTGCAGGTGCGTGGTGCCGGGAATCCGCTCGACAACGGCGCCGCAGTTCCTGTACAGAGCGTCCCGGGTGGCCGGGTCCAGCTGCTCGTAGGTCTGCAGCTGCTCGGCAGTCAGCTCCATTTTGCCCTGGTGCTGGGATATGCGCTGCCAATAGGAATGGCCAAAGAAAACACACACACACGCGCACGCATGCACACCCACGTACACACACACACACACACACACACACAGACATGTGAATAAACACACACAATGACACATGCACAACACAGAATGGGCATACATGAGTGCGCTGTACGCTAGAAAACCCAACACATGCCTCCCGGGATTACGGGGGGTACCAGATCCCGCCTCATTATATTCACAGCTGCACAGAAAAACCCAACACCATTCACAAATTGTGCCCACGACATCATCAACGCAAGTGTACATGCTAGCACATGTAAAGCACTGCTCATTGAAATCCAATCAAGTGAGCCAGCTTTCCGCCCTGCACCCGTGAACAGCCCAGTGTTGCCAGATCGTGTAGGTCTGCACAGCCCCCAGCATAGACTTGACTCGCATAGCGAGATTTCCTTGTGCTGCTCTGCACAACGCTCCAGGCCCGGCTGAGCTTTGCAGGTCCCACCCACTCTATCTGCTGCATACGTACTCTTTGACGCAGCTTCCAATTGTCCATCATGCAAAGAGTGTTCTTTGGAACAATAATAACAACAACAACAATAATAACAACAACAACAACAACAACAACAACAACAACAACAACAACAACAACAACAACAACAACAACAACAACAACAACAACAACAACAACAACAACAACAACAACAACAACAACAACAACGTGAGAATAAAGATTTGAAACAACAACAACAACAAACCCCCAGGCTTACCTTGATATCTTGCACAGCTTGGTAGACGAGCTCGCTTGGCCCGATCAGCTTGACCAGGATGTCGGTGTTGTTGCCTGTCGGCAAGGAGATGGGACGCGGCAGAGCCAGGTCCTCCAGCACCTTGGAGCGGTTGGTTATGGTGTAGTAGACGCGCTTGTCTACCTGCACTCGCAGGACACGCTCCTCTAGCAGCGGGATAAGGCCCTCGTGCAGCGCGTACTCGATCTCCACGCTGGTGATGCCGTCCAGCAGCGGGGTGAGCAGCTCGCGGCACACAGCAATGCCGTTGTCGTCGCCGTGCACCTCGATGAAGCGCGTCGACGCCGTCATGACGACCTGAACGCGCTCCTCGATCCGCGCGGTGACGTCCTTGGCCTCCGAGCTCACCGTGGAGTTGTGGCGGAACCACTGGCAGCGGTCACCGGTGGACTCGATCAGCGCGATCTTCAGGTTGTTCATCTGCGTCTGGAGTCCCTTGATGGCTCGTCGGACGTCGTCCGCCATGAAGCCGCGCACAATGTACTTTGAAGCTGGGCTCGAGTACACGGCGGACACTGCGTACAGGTCGGAGATCTCGGCCAGTTGGACGCTGGCGCTTTCGCTCTCGACGTCGAGCGACTCCTCGGCGGGCGCCTTGCCGAAGATCTCGGCCACGCGATCCACCACGCTGGAGTCCAGGCCACTGAGAACGCACTGGACCTGATCGGTGGCGGAGTGCTGATCAACACCGCCCGGTATGGTCAGCATGACCTTCTTGTCAAACTCCAGACTGGCCAGGCACACCTGGGCGGACTTGACCAGGGCCTTGTTCTCGATGGTCAGGCGCTTGCTGGCGCACTGGGTCACCAGCTTGATGAGTGCCTGGCGCACCAGAGGCAGCTGGGTAGTGTTCTCGCCCGTCACCCAGATCTTGGGCGACGTGGCCGCGTAGCCGATGGCGAACAGCTTGTACTGTCTGCACAGCATCTTGATCAGCTCTGGGCGCACGGCACACAGCAGCTCCATCACAGACCTGCACGTTTAGAAGTACGATAGCAATGAGGGCACAGAAGCAGAAAGAAAAAGAGGAAAGGATGATTAAAGACTGCTCCGTGTGTGGGTAGTCCCAGGTTGTGAACGCCTGTCAGCAAAGTGCGTATTCCGTCTATGTGTATAATAATGTGGGTGCACCAGTATGTGGTACATTGCTGTGTCTCGGTGTGTGTGTGTGTGTGCGTGTGTGCGTGTGTGTGTGCGTGTGTGTGTGTCTGTGTGTGTGTGTGTGCGTCTGTGTGTGTGTGTGTGTGTGTGTGTGTGTGTGTGTGTACCGTAGTTCCGCGCATATAAGCCCATGGGCCTATATCCGGATATAAGCCCACCTCCGTTTATAGGCCCATGGGCTAATATACAGACCCAAACACCGTAGTACAGCATGTCAGTGCAGACTACATTACCAGTACCGGTACCTATGGTAGGCGGACAATCACGCACGGACTTTTACTTTTTCGCGTGCCAGCTGCCTTCAAAATTCGAATATAGGCCCAGGGCTAAAAAACGAACCATTATTACTGATTTATTTTCCCGGAAAATGCATTATTTTCATATATTAGCCCATGGGCTTATATGCGCGGAACTACGGTATGTGTATATGTGTGTGTGTGTGCATGGTGCGTGTGTGTATGGTGCGTGTGTGTGTGTGTGTGTGTGTGTGTGTGTGTGTGTGTGTGTGCGTGTGCGTGTGTGTGTGTGTGTGTGCGTGCATAAGCGTGCGCATGAATGTGTGTGCTCGTGAAACCCGTGGGCACACATCCATTGCATATGCAGAGTTACGTGTTTCTCTTGTGACGGACGTGCACGCGGTACATTTCGTGTACGTGTGTGCGTATGCACGAGTACGGAAACTTACTGTCCAATAGCGAACGCGGTGGATCGCATGTTAGTCAGGTGAGTGGTGGCGGCCATGACACATTTTGAGAAGCCAATGCAGGAGAGGGTAAGGCCTGTGGTAGTAGCCTGGGGGAAACCCCACTCCACCTTCTCCTGAAGATCCATCTGCAGTCAGAAAATGTATGAAAACACAAGAATTTTTTCAGGCAGGCAATGTGAAGCATTTACCGTAATCTCGCGCATATCAGACTATAAGACCCTGGTCTTATAACCCTGGTCTTAAAATCGAAAAGTCGCTGCTTTTGGTCCTTTCACAAGTGCATTTTCGCTCGATTATAAGACCATGGCAGCGGAGAAAAGCGGACCAGCGAAGGAAAAGCCGTTTTTAGGTGATTTTTGTAAGTATGCCCAAACCCTTGCTCCGTAGATTGGCGAAAGGAACTTTCGAAGTTGCAGCAAAAAGTGACAAGTCTTAGGATTGTGTTCGGGATGCTGAGTGCCGCACCAATGGACTGCTGTCGGAGCTTCTTGCGTTCCAAAGTGCAGAGAAGCTGAGCACCGATGAAATTCACACACTAGTGCTGCGGCTGTTTCCTCAGAGCGGACCGGTCGTCAGTGTAAAAACATTTAATCAGTGTAAAAACATTTAATCGCCGCCTCCACCGCTTGAAGGGACGAAGACGAAGCTCTGCAAGTCAGCGAAGCATTCGCCAGATTCCCTTGACCCATACCTAAATAGTGTATTTAGTCTGCATTCTGGAGCTGCAACACGTCCTGCGCAGGAAGAGGAAGAGTACGCCGGGCAGCTAGGAGAGGCCAGTGGCAGTGTGACGTCAGCATCGAGTATGCCAGAATCGGATTTGGAGGAATGGCCGCAGGTCATCATCATAAGCGATGATGATGATGATGATGACGACGTTGAGGATGGGCCACCAGCACCACCACCACCACCACCACAACAACAGCCACTACAGCAGCATCTTAAAGGATATGAGGAGGTGGTGGTGGTGCGAAGATAGCTCCGCGACGATGGCCTCGTGAAGGTCATGACTTTCACTACAAAGACCTTCATTTACACTACGGGTGAGGAGGTCACACACGCGCACCTATTTGAACAAATTGAAAATAATTTACTTTGGTTGGTGTTGCAACATCAGTGAGCTGACGTGCCTCAGAGCCTGTTACATCTTCTGTCAATTTCGAACTTGCTGCCGAAATGTACAGTCTGTCGGACACTGTCGCTAAGCTCGAACAGCAGCTCCGAGCGAGGAGGTCCAGACTTCAGAACGTCTGTAGACGTTTACACCGAGAGGAAAGCAGATCAGAGGAGTTGCAAGTAGCAGATGTAGAGCTACATGGGCTGAAAGAAAGCCAACAGGCACTCCTGAATAGGCATCACCAGAAGGAGCTGAAAGAAAGCCAACAGGCACTCCTGAATAGGCATCACCAGAAGGAGCACTAATTTTTTCTTTCTTTTGTGGTTCACATTACCTTGTTGGTCTCGCAGACCAGGCAGATGCCTGTTGAAGAAGTGGGGGGAAGTCCACTTTGATGGAGAGAAAGTTGGAGCTGGTGCCCTGCCTGGTGTTTGGCATTCAAGCCACAGTTCCACCAACCGCCTAATCTACTCTGCAATCAAGGCTTTTTGAAGAACATGGTGACGAGGCAGCAGGTTGCACTGCGGACTTTAAGGCTTTCCTCGAGAGGTGTGGACCTGAAAGCTCCGCTATCCGATTTCCGTGGCAACCGGAACTACATAATCTTCCACAATGGTGCAGGAGTTTCGTATCTTCACGAGATCATGTTGGATTTCGGGTTGACGTGCATGGCGAGACGAACCGCTTGCCGAAAGCCACACCAGAGTTTCGGCAGCAGTTTCAAGATACGCCAGGAGGAAATCCAGAAAGTTCGGCTTCAGCGCTGGAAAGAGAGGAGGCAGAAATCACCAAGAAGAAAGAACAAGAGAGGAAACGAAAAGAAACGCTGACAACCGAAATCACTGCTCCTGGAGGGATGTGGACGTCTAAGGAAATGGCAACGGAAGAACTGTCGAAAGTGTCACGACTTACGGACAAGCGCCAGACCCTACGTTCGCAGCTGTACTTTCGCAAGTAAGTGTTGCTCCAGAAAGTCTCGACGTCTATATACGCACTCTCCACAGGCGGAAAGCAGTTGTCGATTGGGGAGATGCTGGACAACCTGGTGACCTTCTTCTCGTGATTTCAGTTCTTCAGTAGATTCATTTGCTTGGAACTTCGTAGTTTGTTGCTGCAATTACGCTTGTTCGAATGTTAAAAGCTTCCTTTGCCTGCATGGTGAATGCAAGTTCCACCCAGGTGTGTCTTACAACGCCTATTGTTCGTCTGGAAGCCATCCACAGCACTTCTACAATGCTTTGAAACTGTTGTGATGATGTTGCTATGCTGTTGCTATGCGGTCTCCAAGGCAAACGTGACCAGGGTCGCCAAAACATTGTTTATTTCCATTTTCCGTTGGTATGATGTGTGTAATTGAGACATCCTCTCTGCTTTAGAGTGCTGTTTACAAGTGTACCTTGCACTTTACTAACTATGTCCACTGAAGTACTTCAAGGGCACCCAGAAATACAACGAAATGCACTAACTTCACCTTGTGAAAGTTGTATTTCTCGCCGGCCGAGCGCAGCGAGATAGGCGAGAAATGATTTCTCGCGAAATATTTTCAGTTGCAAATATGGCATCTGGTGTGTTCTTTGTTGTCGCTTCTTTTCCTGACTTCTTCAGTCAGTTTTGAGTCTCACCAGTGTGGACCGGTTTTTTCGATCTCCGTAGGATTTTCCTTGAACGAACTCCTTTGTCAGGATCCCTCGACCATAATGCTTCTTTCTCAGTGCCTTTGACATCCCCTCCGATCACATCGTCGTCGGCTACCCCCGCGTCCCCCGAATCGCCATCTTCGCCATCCAACTGACCAACATCCGAGGCGGACAGGTCCCCTGCGTGACGGAATCTGACACGACCCGTGGAAAGCCAGCAGTTGAAACCGCAATACCCACAGGACAAGATCCAGGAGCTGAGGACATTGTCTGGAACGGGCCTCAACCCCAAACTCCAGCAAACAAAACCCTCGCTCATACTCGTAGCCAAAAATGCTGCGAACAAGAGTTTGAACAAAAAATCGAACTGTTCGCAACCAAGGACGGCGCCAAGCCCCAGGTCCGTGCAAGACACCAGCAAGGCGCTATGTCATCCATCGACCATCGCGCGAGCCTGAGATACACATGAAACAAACTTCTGAGAATTGCGGAGGAAAAGTTTGGAATGTTGTGGTGATGATTTGATGCTGATGATTACGCTGCACGCAAAACAGGCAGGACGAAGAAACATGCCATCTCCAGCAAAATCAATGACCACTGCAGTACCTACAGTAGCCTACAGCCGCAGCTGCCACTGGGCAATCAGCCATCGCCAGCCGCGAGATCACGAGGCCAGATGACGGATCGTGGCTGCCGCCAGTGACTATCCAGATAAGTTGAATTTATTGTATGCTTTTTCTCATAGGTTTAACAGATTGGTGCCATAGTGTACTTCAGTCACCTCCGTTCGGGCTTTGTTGCGGTCGTGAATGAAATTACTTGTTTCTGTACTCCAAGCATCCTATTATAATGGAGATTGTCTCTCCCTTTCTCTTCCTCCGGCACGCACCAAATCATTCGGTAACGAGAGTAGCGCCGCCAACCATGCCGGATTTGTATATGGTGGTATAAAGTGCTTTCTTACGTGTAGGTGGTCAGGCGTAGTTGTACAATTGAATAAGCTCCAGCTTATAGTAATCGTGCGATTGCTTTACACCCCTACAGCAATGTTTGCAATTCCAGTACTTTATGCGGGGTAGGGTACTACACTAGTTCCGCTTCCAGTATATCCATTGTACAGCATCGGTGCATTATTTGTGCGTCAGTGGATGAATCTACAAATTCGTGTATGCGAAGCTAACTTTAGTAAATGCGCGTATGGCACACTGTGTGCTGGTGGCATAACCGTGTTTCGGAATGAGTGTGCTGCGCATACTGTGCGGGCGGACAAGTCCTGCTGTATCTGTCTTACTGAACGCATTGTGCGTCGTGCTATGTTAGATCGGTCCTGCCTGATGAGTGCATCGTGCACTGAGTGTCGGCTATGATTCCTGGTGTAACTGTCCTAATTGACAAGCACATTATGCGCTGTGTGGTAAAACTGTGTTTCTGGATGAGTGTACTTCGCATAGCGTGTTGGTGGACATGTCCTGGTGTAACTGTCTTACTGGATGAACGCATCGTGCGATGTGCTATCCCAGACCTGTCTTACTTGATGAGTACATTGTGCGCTGAGTGTCAGTGTTGATTCCTGGTGTAACTGTCTGAATTGACGAGCACATTATGTGCTGTGCAATGTCATATGAGTCCCGATAGAACTATCTCACCGAAGGAGTGCATCGGGAGCTGTGCGATGTCCAACGGATCCCGGTATGTCTGACTGGAAGAGTGCATTGTGCGCTGCGAGGTGACGGTGGATGCCCAGTATAACTGTCTTACTGGAAGAGTGCATTGTGCACTGCGAGATGACGGAGGATCCCCAGTATAACTGTTTTACTGGAAGAGTGCATTGTGCACTGCGAGATGACGGTGGAGGCCCGGTATAACTGTCTTACCGGAAGAGTGCATTGTGCACTGTCCAATGCCAGACGAACCCCTCTAGATCTGTCGCCCTGGATGATTGTGTTCTACACTGTGCGACGCCAGATGAGTGCCCATATAACTGTCTCACTGGATGAGCGCCTTATGCACCGTACAACGCAAGGCACTTCCAGCCCGGCAGTGTCCGCCACCTCCCAATATCAATGTCTTACTAGTTGACGTATTGTGCAATGTACGATGTCAGTTGTGTCTCTGTACGATTGTGTCAAAGAATGAGTGCATTACGCCACGTACAATGTTGGGTTGAGTCCCAGTAGAATGGTCTTACCAGATGTACGTATTGTTTACCGAAAGTTATAATGTCGATTTCCAGTATCATTGTGTCTCATTGGAGGAGTGCCTGCATACTGCGTGGGGTCAGCTGTGTCCTAGTCAAAATGTCTTACTGGAGGAGTTCATTCCAGTCTTATTCGCTCATCAGATTGTGTACTATACAATGTCAGACGGGTCCCCGCATAACAGTCTCTATGGGTGCATTGGGTACTGTGTAATGTCCGCCACCTCCCAATGTGCATGTGCACTGCGTGCACGTATCACTATCAAGTCCTGGCTGGCCAGTTCCTGACACCTGAACTACTATAGACACCCTACATGCTCTTACACTCAGTTTGGTGGGTGGTTCCTCATCACTGAACTGGGACGTACTGCACCAGATCAGGGTGCTAGGTCCTTGGACTTTGAGAAACTTTGTGTAGGTCATAGCCTACTCGTTTTGTCCCGTACTCTCTCTCTCTCTCTGTCAGTCTTCCTGTCTTGTTTGCATCTCTCTGCCTTCTTTCTCGTTTTCGCCGCGCTATGCTTTTTCTGAGTCACATCTGGCTGCGGCCAACTACCCTTCACTTTGTGTGTTGTCGCTATTGCTGTCTATGTCTCTGTGTATGCCAGTATATGTGGAGCGAGAAGTTGTATTTCTCGCCGGCCGAGCGCAGCGAGATAGGCGAGAAATGATTTCTCGCGAAATATTTTCAGTTGCAAATATGGCATCTGGTGTGTTGTTTGTTGTCGCTTCTTTTCCTGACTTCTTCAGTCAGTTTTGAGTCTCACCAGTGTCCCTGCCCTCCCACCCTTTATTTCTGTGCATATTATCAATGCTTTTTATCACTGTTTGCCGTGATGTGCTTGCCATGCCTACATGATGCCTAATCGCCATTGGGGATATACACCCGATTTTTTCCCTCACAAATGCGTCCGTCGGCGCGAGGGTTTTTTCCCGGCTGGCTCGGTCCAGGAAAATTAATCTGACGGTCCCAAGTGGTTCTGCATCATGGCCTATTTCTGCTATCCACTGGCACGACTATTCTATCTGAGACACTCTGTTCTCAGTCCTTGCTTGCTTCCATACCTCACTCGTTATCCGGTTCACATCTGGCTGCGGCCAACTACCCTTCACTTTGTGTGTTGTCGCTATTGCTGCCTATGTCTCTGTGTATGCCAGTATATGTGGAGCGAGAACTGTCCGTCTTTGAACGTTTATATCTTCTGTATGGCGTGTGTTCACCTCATTGTCCTCGCTCGTTCCTCATTTCTTTGTTTATTTGGCTTATGCGAAGACTAGCCAAGCTTGCTTGGTGATGTCTACGCGAACAAGGATATAACAAGAGTGTTGTAACTGCCTAAGAGTATAAATAAAAATAAATGAAAATAATGGAGGGGAATTTCCTACTGAAGCTTTTCGTGCATGGTCAGAAGGAACGGCTTTGTCGGATCCCCAAGTAAAGTTGTTTTTCACTTTTCCAAAAAAAACGTTGAAGTTCCTACCAATGGGCAAAATATTGGCAATCACTTCCTTCATTCTATGCAACTAAGCGCCTGTTTGGGGAGTGGAAGTCTTAACAAGTTAACTATGGTGTTCCTCAATGAATTCAAATAGAGTGAGTCACTGGACTGCGGAATAGTGCAAGGGGGGGGGGGGGGGAGTCACTGGACTGCGGAATAGTGCAGAGGGGGGGGGGGGGGGGCGCATACTTCACTCCTACATGATTAGACTTCATAGGGCAGCACTGTGCCAGTACTCCGCTTGTCACAGAGTCATGGCACAGTAGCAGATGACAAGACAGCAGGGCTTCCCTGCCGCCGACATGGTTATCCCGGAGTCACAAGTACTGGAGGCCTACAAATTTTCGGCGCATTTAAATTTCGGCCTCCCAGGGCATAAACCCCTTTTAATAGGCCGCATCAATTTTTCAGCAGCCTGTACTGCTACCGCCTGTATACAGTGTCACACTGAACATTGGAAAACAAGATTTCGGCCAAACATGACGAGGCCGAAAAAAGTCGACAATAAATATGCGCCGAATACTTGTTGACTTACAGCAGCCTGAACAAAAGCTCCTCTGATCTGCAACAAGATCTGCTGCCACTTTACGTCAGCACTTAGGCAAACTGCTAATGTCAGTTAGGTCCTTGCAGGGTGGCGCCGTTCCTACGGATGCTGACATCTCAGTCTACCGGAGTCTCGAGCGAACCGTGGAATTTTTTAAATATCTTATAAAGCAAACTTCAGAACTGAGCAATATACACACGGTTGGGCACTCGTCGTATTGCCTTCTAACCTTGTCAAGCAGCTTGGTCAAAGGTACTGCACCGCTCTCATCAGCCTTCAGCCACCAGTCGTACTCGCTAGCATCCAGTGTGAATTTGCTCTTCACGAGCTCTGCAGGTCGAAAGCAAACACGCACACGCACGCGGGTTCACGCACACGCACACAAAGACGCACACACACGAGCACATACACATACAAACATTAAAATACCTGATTAGACGAAACAGGTGCATCGTCATCATCAGTGACTGTCCTCAGCGGATAGTGCCAGGGAAACGCCACAACCTGAGCAGAGCATGGCGGGGCCACCAAGCTTACGAACAACTACAGATTCTCCATCTGAGGACCTATATCACACAAGGCAGGTTAAAGGCAGGTTGACTTCACATTACTCCGTATGACAGGTACAGGTAGCCGGGCTTAGTCCTGTAGAAGCCAATGGCAGTGAAAGGCTTCTAATCGAGCAAGGTATTTCTATGTAGGTCAACAGTAAAACCAGGCACATGTGTCATCAGTGTACAGTAAAACCTAGTGCTGAAACGATTATATCGATTACTCGTTCCTTACTCGATAAGAAATAGATCGAGCGGTTATTTCGATTTTATCGGCTAAACAAGTAGAATGGTACTTACGCTCGGTACAGGATTTCCCCCCTTTTGGGGTCGCACAAAGTGTGCATGCACCGAAAGTGGTGCGAGTACAACACGAATATGTACATGACTGTAAACTTGCACCATCGATGCACGTGTAAAAGTACAAGCACGATCTGAGAAACATCGACACGATCACTGTCGCCGTCTTTTCAGCTGACTACTTTTCTTACATACAGCATGCAGGACTGGCAGGCTCAGTATGTGTCTACACTAGCTGCAGGGGCTGGAGTTCCCTCCACGTGCGGGTAGTCTTGAGTTAAAGACAGTAAAGTGGTCTTCAGTTTCGTGTTTTCCGTTCTGTCGACGGTTCCCTAACCAGTTTTCTCGACGACGAGCTAGGCCTGGCGTCGGAGCCTACGTTGAGCATAGACAGGAAAAGCAACTAGTTACTTGTTGACGCGCCTCAAGTCTGCTCATCTGTCGAAATCTTCCGATTTGCACCCCTGGCCAGCTTCACTGACTTCATCGTCGGAGTCAGCGAAGTCACAGGCGAAGGGCACCATCAGCTCTTGGGTTGCAACCAGTGCGTCGCCTCTGTCTTGTCTGTATCCGTCTGGTCAGTCCGAACAGCTGACGGACTTGTTGCGGGATCATCGGATCTATGCGCCCGCTTTCCGTCGTTGGCAATGTTGGACACTTATTTTTTTTGAAATTCACAGAATGTACATTGTACTGATGTAGTTACAATAATAATCGTTTAGCCGATGAGCCGATCGTTATGGTATCAGCTTAGCCACTAAGGAAAAAACGTAATCGTTTCAGCACTAGTAAAACCTGTGACTAAGGAACACCCCTTGGGGCCCAGAGAAAGCGGTCTTTAGAGGCAGGCGGTCCCTAGTTAAGAGGTTTGCGCCGCACAACCATATTATGAACGTGAGACCGTCCGTGCCTGGCAAAGTGGTCTTTCGTACCAGGCTGGTCGCTAGTCACGGTGGTCTTTAGTTATCTTGAGCAAATCAGTCTTCTTCTCAAAACAGGCTTCTACAGTTCTGCTTACTGCAAAACCCGAACGTCTAACGTTTTAACGACCAATTTTTTCGTTATTTGAAGAAACGTTATTGCGACATGTTTGTGTAAAGATGCGCATCCAGATGGGTGGCCAGGTAGCCATCGTTAAACATTCTGCATGTTATCATGCCAAAATTACAAAAAAATGTTAAACTTTTTACGTCAACTTTCCGGTTGTACAGTATACCAGAGTGGTGTTGCTCAAGTTTTCGGCCTTGCACCATATCGCAGCCCAGTGTTTGCAAGTCTAGGGTTACACAACGCCCAGAGCGTACTTGAGTGACGCTGTGACTGCATTCCACTGAGCAGCACTGTCCGCCAGACGGGCCTTTATACGGACAATACTGTATCTAGAATGGACTCGGGTGGAGAGCCAAGGATGGTGGTGTTCGTGAACATTATAGCGTAACTTGTAGTTTCTTGGTCCTTCTTTCTTTACTATAAATGCTGTATCCGCTCACCGTAGGTGATGGTGACAGCTGCATCGGACACCTTCTCGGCGTCACCGCCGGTCAGAACGGCCTCATCGCCACTGTACTGGAACGAGACGGAGCTGTAGTCGGGTCGCTTGCCAAAGTGGCTCTTGGCAAACTTGTAGACGTCCTCCTCGATGGTAACCTGCGCGCTCCACTCCAGTCCCAGAGAACTGCCCAGGGTAGAGCCGGAGCGTCTGCAACACGCAATGAGATGAGTGAACGAATGCATACACACATCCACACACACACGCGTGCGCGCATACACAAGGAAGACAACTTAGGATTATGACATACGGAGGTCTATGATGGATTCAGGTAAAAATAATCCTGTTTTCTCTTTCTCTTCACAGTGTTGCATAAATGTTTACAGGCTATCAGCTGCACCAGTTAAAATCGATAGCAACCCTCCTTGAACAGTGCAGCTGTGAGCCTACGGTGGAGAGCTTTGAAGTGTTACCTGATGCAGACAAACCGTGTTTATCAATGAGATTGATTGGGTGCTATAAAGAATTGATTAGCATCCTGTACTAACACACAGTGAAGCGTTCGCAGGTCTGGTCCTGCATTGCACCGCATACCAGTGCATAGCTCCTTGCTCGTACCAGCAGTGCATGGTGTTGGAAGGTCTGTGGCTGCACTGCACAGCAACCCACACCAAAAGCGCACAGCCGGGTGTTGGCAGGTCCAACACTGCACAACAGCCGGATTGGATTTCATCGAACAGCGCTGTACATGCATAGGAAAACCTGTAAAGGCGACCGCCTCTCCTAGAAGACCACTGAAACCAGGACCAAGGGATGCTATTTCCAGTCCAATGACCCCTAGATAGGGAGACCACCTGGTACCAGAGACCACGTTTCGAAGGTCCCATGAGTGGCCGTCTTAGACAGGTTCCATGAGTGGCAACTGCTCGTACAGTAAAACCTGGTGTAAGCGACCTCTGGGTTTAGCGACCACCTGCTCTTAATGACCGTTTGTCCATGCACCGATAGTTCTACACAGACACTGTGGGACCTGGTTCTAAAGACCACCTGGCTTAAACGACCGCTTTTTCTTGCACCGTGGGGTGGTCGCTTAAACCAGGTTTTACTGTACAAGCCAAACATCTCTCACTATGATACTAGAACATGAGTGCTTACTGCAGCTGCTTGGCCACAAACTCATTGACCATCATCTGATGTGTTTCTGGGTTGGTGACCAGAGAGGAGATGGGCGGAGGGCCGACAGAGGCAGCAGCAACAGCAGCAGCAGCACCGGGTAACATCGAGTCGACGATGGGCTGGACGGCCACGCTCTGCGCCGTCTGCTGCTGGTGCGGCCCCGTGGAGGTAACCAGCTGCACTTGCTGAACGGCCGAGCGCCCGGGCTGCTGCCCGATCACGCCGGCGTTGGGACGCGGCACGATGGGAAGGGCCTGGGGAGAGCCGAGACGAGCGGCAAACGCAGCGCTTGCCGATCCGTACGGACCGACAGTGCTGGCGGTGGCGGCGGCGGCTGGAGCTACCTGTGTCACCTGGTGGAAAGCGTAGCCGACTGGGGCTGCGGCCGCTGCTGCCGCTGGTACTGGTGCTGCTGCGGCCTGAGGTGCGTTGTAGGCGGCCTGCGGTTGAGCTTGTGCCGCGACGCCACCGACCTCGGCTGCCGGGAATGGTGAGGGGGTGGCCGCATAGCTACCGGCGCTGGGGAATCGCTGGAACAGCGGCTGGTTGGTCAGCGGAAGCTGCTGCTGTGGTGGTGGAGACAAACGCAGACACGTACGCCGCATACGTTCATGCACGTGCACACACACACACACACGCACCCATGCACACACACATACACGCACACGCATGCATACACACACATTGTCAGTCAGCATTTGCTTCACTAAGACCTAGAGAAGGTTACAAGCACGAGGTTTTGGGGAACAGATGACCGAGATCCTTTGATAGAGATGGCATCTGTGCCCACATCACCCATAGTACGAGCCAGAGCATGCGGCTAGCATATCCAGAAGGGACTTCAAATGCCGCGTTTTGGGTGATACGTAACTTCTTTGGAGCAAATTCGCTCCGTCCGTAGGAAAGCTAGGACTAAACAACTACATTAAAAGAAAACCGGCCCAATTTGACCCATGTGGGAGCAACAACTAACGGCCGGTTTCTTTTTTTTGAAATCCCAATCGGCCAAATAATGACGGCCAAATGTTTCATTTCGAAATTGGCCAACGATTTTCATCGGCAAAAATGTGTTGATTTACAGAGCATGTAGAGGAGACTTACAGGAGGCAGGGTTTGCCGTGGGCCGCCAACGGCGGTGCTAAACTGGCCGAGCTGGACACCAACTGGAGTAGCATGTGCTGCTTGCTGCTGCGACTGCTGTTGAACCTGCTGCAACACCTGCTGGCTGAGGAGGGTCTCAAAGTCGTCAGAATCGTTGGCGGACGGTGGCCCAACGGCCAGAGTCACTTGGTTGCTGGCACCTGAAAACGGCAGAGGAGAAAAAAACAAAAACAAAGGATGAACGCGTGTTAGATAACTGCACACAAGCAAAGACAGCTACATGTGCACACACAGAGCGTATGCACATGTGCACATGTGCACATGAGTACATGAGCGCATCGCACACACACACACACACACACACACACACACACACACATACACACACACACACACATACATACACACACACACACACACACACACACACACACACACATACATATATTATCTCTTTTTCCGCAAACCCAGACCGGATGTGGGTCCAAGCGATCGGTATGCGAAAGGTGCCCTTCCAAACTGGATACAGTCACTGCTGTTGAGCATAGACAGACCCCCCCCCCCCCCACACACACACACAATTTGCTTGCATGGGTGATTGAGACGCGGGGAACTACGTTCCACTTGCCTCTTGGCGGCCTGGCATGTCCAGGCGTCAGGCTTCCGGACGGCACGTTGGAGTAAATGAGGGATCTCCCCACCATGGATGGAGAGTCGGCCAATCCACCAGACATGCTGCTGGGGTTGGCGATGATGCGCGCCTTGTCTTCATCGGTCAGCTTCCAGGTGACATTCTCGTTTCGGATGAGACGATTGCGGCACGCCTCGTATGCCTGCAGGACAAGAAAAGCAATGGAATGGGGAGACAATCTATGGCTTATGTAACGCACAATAATCTTCTGCGGCTTTCATGTGGTGACGAGGCCCTGGAGCTAAGCATTGTGATAACACCGTTGTTTAGGATACAGCCAAACATTTATTGCACACCTAAGCGCATATGCTTCTACCCGAACATGTTCACATAGTAAAAAATCATTTTCGTAGCAATGTTTCACTTCATGCAGCACATAACCAGCTCCGCTAACTGACCACCACGACATCATTCGCGGAACCTCCACAGCATGACTACTATTAATATTTATTCTAGGGGTGAAAGTTGGCACTGAGATGCCGAGTTCGAGTACTCTGATTTTCTCCGATCGAATATTCAAGTATTCTTCATCACCTAAAAATTGCACACCAAGGGCCTTAAAATCACATGATGCAACCCTGATCAAAGCGAGTAGCAGTCATTTTTCTCGGGTATATTGGTTGGTCACATCAATATCTACTGACTGCTGCTCTGAAACTGCAGATATCTGTGGTAAATGCATGTATCATGTATGAACGAGTACTCTGATTTATTCCGAGTACGATTATTTTTGAAAAAACCGAGCGAGTACTCGAGTATTCGGTATAATTCTTTCAGCCCTAATTTATTCATATTTCTCTAGGGCAGTGCCCACATGCGAAAAGCACACACGGTGCGTGCTCACCGTCTCCGCAATCTCCGTGGTCTGAAAGTCGACAAATGCGTAGCACGTCCTCTTCTTCTTGTTTGTCCTGACGCGGACGTCAATGGCTTTGTCGGCAAACTCGCTCAGAGCCATGTATATATCTTCCTTCTCCACATTGGAAGGCAAGGAGCCGATCCAGATGTAGCTTTTCTGAAGAAAAACAAGAACAAAAAAAAAAAAAAAATACTCAGTCACAAATTTCATTGATAAAATGCGGCAAGAAAACGTTCTGGAAACTTTCAATTGCTGCTATGATTGTCATATGAGTGCGGACATAGTTTTTTTTCATTGCTCTAAAAAAGAACATCGTACACCCATTAATTTATAGAAGAAGAAAAAGGATCAAGGAACTACAAGTTACGCTATAATGTCCACTAACACCACCAGGCACTAAACAATCAGCTCATGCGATAACATTGCACTTGGCTCTCCATCCGAGTACACCCATTGGATAGAGATTGTGGGTGCAAAAGTCTCTGAGATCACCAGATCAGGACAGTTATTTAGCCTGGGCAAAAACTGTACGAACGCATCAGCGACTGAAAAGAAATAATACCTTGGGGCCAAGAGCTACAGCGGCTCCTACGGCCGAGCCACTGGGATCGTCTCCCATGTTTCCGTTGATCTGCGGCAAGTTGCCGAACGAGGGGCCGTGAGTGAGGTTGTCGATGGCCCTCTCGAACTGGGACTGCGGCAGCATGCTGGACTGTGGCTGAGCGGTGGCGTTACCGGCGAGAATGTCGTGGTTCGACCAGACGGTCGCCTGCTGCTGCGAGTTATGGCTGTATATCTTCCAGGTCAATTCGCGACCTTGGTACGGCCGATTCTGCAAGACGGCAACACACAAAGACCACGTGTACACACACACACACACATACACACACACGTACACACACACACACACACACACCACACACGTACACACACACACACCATACACGCACGCACGCATGCACACAAAAACAAACACACACACAAGTGCATCAAATTCAACGTCTTCAGCGACTCATGGTTATATGAATAATTTGTACTTATTCATCCGGCCCACTTGAAACAGATGTGGGAGAAGGGCATACAACTAGACATAGCATGCAAGGTAGTGAGTGCCACAGCTGGTTCATATCAATGAGTTTAGCATGAACTGAAGTGAAGTACCGCTACTCAATAGGGCTTGAAAGTGATGATATCAGAAGTCAAAATCTAACGACAAATAACGACCTTTGAATCCACTTACGTCCAGTTTTTGTATGGGTCCAGTTTTTGTATGGGTCCATACACGTTTGGGTGGTTTTCCTTGGCAGCATAGTGACACATCCACCGGTTGGTGTGGGTCCACGACCCTGGTGGATGTGTCACCATGCTGCGAAGGAAAACCACCCAAACGTGTCTGGATCCATACACAAACTGGACCCAAGTGGATCCAAAGGTCGTTAGATTTTGACTTCTGACGTCATCACTTTTAGTGATTGCTCCAAATGCACCCTCTGCTGCTTCTGACGTAGCCTCTGTTGAGCCTGCGTGCAAGTCGCATTGCGCGTGTGTCCGCGGCCTCATTGACCGTGTAAATGAGCTAGAGGATGAGCAGCGAGAGACACATGCTTGCACACGAAAGTATCTGGACGCTGTGAGTGGTGAGCTCCAAGAAACGAAAGCAGAGTTGGCAGGTCTGCGGCATCATGTTGAGAAGCAGCGCGACTTCTCCCTGAAGGCGAAGGCGTTCTCGCATGATGACCGAAAGATCCGGTACTAGACTGGTTTCTTCAGCATTGGTCTGGTGATGGCTTGTTTTCGTTTCTTGGAGACTTCGGTGAAGTCCAATCGCTCTTGACAGGGCCAAAGCACTCGCTCCTCTCACAGAAAAGTGGAGCCCCGGTAAAACTGTCGCTTGAAGACCATTTCTTCCTTGTGATGGTCCGGTTACGTCTAGGCCTAGACGTTCAAGACTTGGCAGACCGGTTTCATGTCAGCCCTACGACTGCGAGTCGTATTTTCACTTGATCAACTTGATGTATAACACGTTTTCGGAGTTGCCGCTTTGGATGTCACGCAAGAAGATGACAAAACTCATGCCTCCCTGTTTGAAGCAGTGGTACACATCCACCAGGACCATCATCGACGGCACTGAGTTCTTCATAAAGCGTCCATCCAATCTTGCTGGCTAGAGTGCCACCTGATCTAGCTCCAAAAATCACGATACGGTAAAAGCCCTTATATGTATATCCCTGTATGGCACAATAACATGTTTCAGTAGGATCAATTTCCGATGTAGAATTAGTGCATCAGTGTGGCCTGCTATCCCTCTTGGAGGCAGGCTACAGTGTGATGGCGGACAAGGGCTTTCACATTCAGCATCTCCTCAGCTCGATCGGTGTCCAGTTGAACATGCTCCCCTTCCGTCGAGGTGAGCGACCAGTCACACCTGATAACGTGCTAAAAACCCAAAAATATTGCTGGTGTGCGCATTCACATTGAGCGTTCTATCAATAGGATTAAAAGGAATTTTCATTAATTGGCCGAGTTATTCCAAACAGCTTGTTTGATATGGCTGAACAGACCATTCATGTTCGTGCTTTTCTACCCAATTTTCAGCCCGCTTTGGTGGGATGAACCACATCCCTGCACATGCATTGATAAACTAACTTGAGGTGTGTTTACTTTATTACGAAATCAAAACGACTCTTACTTGATAACCATGCATGCGGTGCTGATACAGTAAATCCTGGAACTAACGACCACCATGACTAGCGACCACCGTGACTAGCGACCAGCCTGGTACTACAGACCACTTCGCCAGGCACGGACGGTCTCGCATTCATATTATGTGGCTGTGCTGTGAAAACTTCTAACTAAAGACCACCTGCCACTAAAGACCGCTTTTTCTGGCCCCAAGGGGTGGTCGTTAGTCACAGGTTTTACTGTGCCTAGCTCTCTTTCTCATCGTATTTTAGAACAAACAAGACCCATCCGACTGTGTGCTGGGCAAGGCAAGGACTACCTTCAGTATTGTGTGTATGGCATATGCGTGTGTTTATGCCCATGCGTCCTTGCGTGTGAGCGTGCATGCACGCCTTTCAATATCATACCAACTAGACTACTAGTGAACTATCCCGATCATTCAACGCAACTATGAAAGTAGCCAGCATAAGTCTCTTTTATTGTTATATTCCATTCCAGGGTATATTCTAGGACGAATTTCCAACCGGTTACGGTCCAATGAAAAATACAACCCAAATATGGCACTCGACAGCAATTTAACAGATTTCTTGGTGCTTGGTACAAACTCGTGACCCTAGAACCAGCCCACGCGGCTTCGCTGGAAGTATCCGTCCAGAAAAAAGCGTTTGACCATTCACAGCTCCATTCACCCACAGAAAAGTACGGGCGGTTGGAACTGATTTGTTACTTTTCAACCGGTCGCCAACAATTTCAACCGGTCTAAAACCGGTTGGGGCGGTAATAGAAAATTTCCTGCATTCGCACTGCTTCCGTTGCAAAGCTGGATACAAAAGCAACTCAAGCAGACACGCTATCCAGATGCTCATACTAAGCCTTCGCGTACAACGTTTTACTTTCCCTGGCAGCTTGCGTTGTTTTTAATCCATCTTTGGAACCAAAATATTACACAATGGTGTCGAAGCGGCAACAAAGTGTTGAAGCAGAAGTCAAAATGGCGTAAGTATGGCTTTTGCCACGACTACACGGGGTATACCGCCGAATACTTTCACACGTGCATTGCACGAGGGGAAATGGGAGAGACACGGTATACACTGAGTGAACGGTATAATGTACTTATCCCATCGTACTTCCCCAAGTATAGAGCGTTACCGAGCGGGGTATGTCTTTGAACCGAGCTGGGTATACATATATATTTGAACAATTCAGGACGCACAGCTGTTTTCATGATCACTCCGGGTGCGGGGTAACAACACATTACGGGGTTGGGTCGGTTTTGGATGAATGGACTGAAAGTACTATTGATAGTTCTTACCATGACATGCTGGTAGCAGTCCAGAGCGGCAGCATCCGACTTGAAGTCAATGAACGCGCAGCAAAAGCGGAAGCCGACCCTGCTGGGCTTGATGCGTATGTCGATGATGTCCTGGCGCCAGATGTGCAGGTAGGCCTCCATCTCGGCAATGGGGATGTCGGGCCGCAAGTTGGCGACCAGCAGACAAGCGGCAACGCCGCGGCGCGGAATCGTATCGTAACCACGGCGCTGCGTCGCCTGGACAACAGGGTCCAGTCCGCCGCCGACGCCGTGCGAGAGCGGCGACTGATGCAAGCGCTGCTGCACTGGCGAGCGCATGGCCACCATGCTGTTAGCGGCGGCGGCTTGGAATCCGCCGTGGCCGTTGCTGAGGCCAGTGCCGGCGTTGGCTGCCCCGCCAAACTGGTAGTTGGAATTGCTCTGCATGAAGCCCGGGCCGGACGAGCCCCAGTTGCTGATCCCGTACTGGTTGGCCAAGCGGTCGGATCCCATCGCACCGCCGGCGCTGTTGAACGAGCCGCCGTTCAGGCCCAGACCCTGCGGGTCGTCGTCTCGCGGCACATTTCCCTGGTGCAGACGTCGGAAGTGCTCCTGATCGAGCTGCTCGTTGATCCTCAGCATGACCGATCGGCAGTCGTCCAGCGGTTTGCCGTGCAACTTGTCCAGTGCGCTGCGTGCGGCGTGCAGCGAAGAGAAGTTGACAAAGGCATACTGGTCGCCTTTACGCTCGCCACTTTTCAGGTGGATGCTGGTGATGAACATGGCAAAACTGCCGAAGAAGCCACGCAGCGAGGCCTCGGTCGTTGACTTGGTGAGCCGGCCCACCCAGACGGTGTTGACCGCCTTCTTGTCCGACTCATTTTTGCCGAGCTGGTTCACGGGCTGAGACTGGGCATGCTGAATGGGTCCCCCGGCAGCAGCGGCTGCAGGTGCAGCTTGCAACGTGTGCTGCAACTGCGGTTGCTGATGATGGTGATGTGGCTGGTGCTGCTGATGCTGCGGCTGCAACGGCGCCTGCTGGCGCAGTTGCTGCTGCGGCTGCTGCTGGTGCTGTTGCTGGTGGTAGGGGTAGCCGCCGTGCATTGGGCCCTGAACACACATACACACACACACACACACACACACACACACACACACACACACACACACACACACATACACACACACACACATGCAGGGTTATTATTATTATTATTATACGCATTCCCGCGTTGAAGTGTAGCAGCAGTATGCTGCGTCCACAGCTTCGCTTATGCAGAATGGCTTGGGTGAGAGGAGAGGGGAGAGAAAGCAACAAGGCAACCAACATCTATGAAATTGGCCACAATAACATGAAGAGAACCAACCTACATAATGCATGATTGCACAAGAATGGAGACGACCAAATATAATGGCTATAATCATTGTGCCACAAAACCGGTACACAGGAGATCTGACGAAAATGTAACGAAACATAAAACTCAGTTACTCAATACAGGTTCCACTAAATTACAAGAGAACAACGCTACAACGTTAGAATTGCCGCTAAATTATCGCAAGTGTAGAGAACGAGTCCAATACAAATGAAAACCATGAACAGACTGTCCCGAAGTTATTTTGGGAACAAATTGTACTACATGACTGTTAGGTTGAGTTGGGTAACTCCGCTCTTCTTCCTCGCTCACCGGAGGAATTTCTCTAGTCTCCTCGCGCAACTGGGGAGCACTCCAATGGAGAGAGAAAGATTTTTATAGGGCGGCTTGGTGTGAGAGGTGGACTGAGACTTGCCGTGACGGCGCTAACGGCGAATATCAAGACCTTACGGCCACGGAGCTGCGGGACTCTGCGCTGGTCGTCTATCCGTGTGGAGGCAAAGCAAACGCGGGCAACATTCTGCTGAAGCGAGCGTGGAGCTGAAGCTGGATTGGTGACTGACGTACCTGCTTACTCCACAACACCGGCGCATAATGATGTGCATGTACAAGACTTCGTGAGTATTCAACTCAAATTCGTGTTCCGTCAGCGTCAGTATCAGCAAGTACAGTCATGTAGTGCAGGGTTATAGCCGGAATAAAAGTGAAGACAGGCGGGGATAATTGGACCCAAAATTTCGTAGTTTTACCGCAATTTTGAGCCGCCATTTTATGCTGTGCTACTAAAGTGTACTTTATCATGCATATAAAAAGGTGACGCTAGCACTCTGAAGGGTGGCACATTCATTTTGAAAGGGGGAGGTCAAAAAGTGAAGGATGGAACAGCGCCCCGCTATGTCGCTTTGGTGAGAACCCTAACACGTACTGTGCACCATGTACACGCGCGCGCGCGCGCGCGCGCGCGCGCGTTGCAAGACATGCACGCAAATCAGCAAATGCAATGGATGTACACCTACAGCTGATGTACTCTTATAGCAATGATAGTGGACAAACTCTGAATGAAGCTGATCAAAACTAGACTACTAGACAACTAAAGCAAGCAATCAGACTGATCGTGCATGAAGTCATCCATTTTTCCAAACAAATACTCGATCAATTCGCTGCTAAACGGAAGAAGTTAGCCATAATTATGAACTCAGCATACACATGATAGGATTTAAAACAAAGAGTTTCAGGTTTACTAGTAACACAGGTGTATACAGCGTCAGAGTCTACGTTATACTGGTTTTAACCTCTTTAGCGCGAGCGTCGTACTAGTACGACGCACATGAGTTGCATGCCCCACGGCCGTCGTACTAGTACGACGCGCGCTGTACACTGTACAGTGAACCTGCATCTCATAGTCGTGGGGTCCGTGTTGAGTCCATAGTGACTTGTTCAAACTATCGCAACTCACTCAATACTTGGTCGATTCTCACAATCGAAACATGTATCTGCAAGAGAAAACTCTCAGCTGGCGATAGAAACAATCGCCGAAGCGATGCGACTACCGGTTGTTGAGATATGCGACTCGACACGGCAAATTTCAACTCGATTTTTTTGCGCAGTCTGCAGAACGCGTATTTTCCATCATGGATCCTTTTTGCGCTACCTGCTGCCATGGAAACAAGATTCAAATGATGGTAGTGGATCCCGTGAGTCCTCACAAAAAATTTGAGCTCGATACGAGCAAGGAGACCGAAATGGCAGCTGAATATTTGAGCTTGATTAGTTTTGGCCGTGCTCAAGTCTGTCGAGCGCGTGGATGAAGTTTGCCAGACTGTAGCACGGGGTTTTGGTTTCGCTCCGAGCTGGGTTTGATACCAGTTTGTCCCTCGTCTCACGACCTTTCCAGGAAGCTCAAGATCGTGGAATTCGTCCAAGGGAAGGTAAAGTTATCGATCCTTGAGCAGCTAGTACTTTCATGGGAAAATGCGACTTTTACAGGTGTTGACGTGGGGCGCGCTCAGGTAGCGTCGTGCTAAAGAGGTTAACTTATGATATAATCCAAAACTGGTAAACCGGTATTAGATAAACCTTGTTGTCGTTCACGCAATTGTTAGATTGACAGCATGGAACAAGGAGGAGGACACAGTGTCCTCCACCTTGTTTCATGCTGTCAATCTAACGATTTAGTTTTAACTTCTGTCCCACAGCCTTCACCCTCACATGGGAGTGCAATGCACATTTATTGACTAACTTGCTGCCTTCCACTGTTCGCACTTGTACAGACTACCGCTCATTTATTCGCTCATGCTTAACCTTCCTAGGGGCTCCCGTAAGAAGACCATAGGTCTGCGGGAAACACCCTAGTAAAAAAAAGGCCTCTTTAGCTCGTAGCTGTACTGATGAGGCCTTTATGGCCGAAACAGCTTGCTGTCTGCAGCATTGGGTAATATTAATAATAATTATTATTATTAGGGCTCAAACAGTCACGGTTTTACCCCTAACGGTTAACTGCTAAGCTAACGGTCGGTTTAACGGTTATAACCTATAAGCCACAGCAATCCTGCAGACTCTTTTTTATCCGTATATTTGACTATACTCATTCAAAAAATGTACCCTATTCAGTACAACGCACACATGTACATTCTCTTGCATGCTCATTCATACATACTCTCACACCAAGAGACCAGATATGGCTGAGTTGGCAGCCCAGAAATTGCGTACGCGTGCGACAGCCTGCGAAACTGCATACTTTGCAACGACCTGATACTTGAAAAATTGACTGAAAATTGACTGCGTAACCGTTATCTTTATCGGTTAACCGTTAATTCTTCATAAGCAGTCTGCAACCGGTTAGTCGGACTAACCGTTCGAGCCCTAATAATAACAATAACTTACTTCATTGAAGTCACTACCCGGACCAGAGTTCAGTACGTGTGGGAAACTCTGAGGTTGGTTGGAGTGGAAGTGCTGCAGAGCAACAATGATATAGCACAGCGCAGTCAGTATGAGCAGAGACACACAAAGGAGTGCATGCATGTGTGTACATGTGTGTGTGTGTGTGTGTACTTGAATATGCATGTACAACTACACACACTCACATACACACACTCACATACACACACAGACTCAGGCACATACACACAGACATTTGCATCTCCTTGGCTGCCAGGAGCGCCTGTGCGTACAGGACCTTTGGAAGATGTCTCAGAACGGTCGGACCAGAAACCCCGACGCATAATCAAAAATGAAGCTACAGACATGAAGGCACACACGTGCACACATCCATTTTTTGCTGTAGGTCCTCCATATCAGAGCCTAGCGATCATGCGATGACTTTACTAGTACATGACGTGCAGTTGCACTCTGATACGATCTACCTCCATGGGCAGGAGGAGGTCGTGCTTAGTATCCGACCTACTGTAAGACCAGGTATCGTAGCGTCAATTAAAGTTAACGATCTCCTGATTTTCGTGGGATAGGGAGGTGAAATACTGAATAGGCAAAAGGAATATACATGTAATAAGAACACACGACATGTCAACTATTTACTTAAACAAATAAACTGGAAACGGATGAATACAGGAATCATGACAGCTGACGGTACATAGTGGCCAAGCGACATAACACGAGTATACTGTACATTATAGTACAATTCTACTTATAAACTACAGCCGAGAACCACGTAGTCGAAAACTAAACAACGTGCCGTTCTATTGTAAACATTAAAAAAAGAAAAGAAAAGAAGAGTAAGCCACTGTACTCCAGGCTATTTCCTAGGCTGTTCCTGGTTCGTTTCCAGGAATATTATGCCCTAAGAATGGTTAACGTCAGATTGGGTAGGGTTTTCGGTTGCATCCCTGTGCCCACAAAAATACTTGCATCCAGGGTCGTGTGTGTGTGTGTATGTGTGTGTGTGTGTATGTGTGTGTGTGTGTGTGTGTGTGTGTGTGTGTGTGTGTGTGTGTGTGTGTGTGTGTGTGTGTGTGTGTGTTGCTATATCTAGCATAGCTTGTTCACTTTCATGGCTTCAACAATGTGCAAGGGTAAGTGTGGGTGGGTGGATGTGGTGTTGCGATGATCAGGTGTAAGTGTAAGTAAGTGGGTGTGTGTTGATGTGTGTGGATCTGTGTGGATGTGTGTACCTATGTCTAAAATAGCTTGTTCATGTTCATGGCTTCTGCAACAGGCATGTGTAAGTAAGTGGGTATGTGTGCATGCATTATTGTGTGAGTGGATGTGTGTGAGTGGATGTGTGTGTGTGTGTGTGTGTCTGTGTGTGTGTTTTGAACCCAGTCTCATGAACAATACAGGACACCAGGATCTGCCACAACAACCCAACACAAAAACATGCATAACTGTACTACTGACAGGACTTGACAAACATCCAACACACACACACACAACCTAAGAAGTACAGGATACCAAGCGAGTGAGTGCATGTGTTTGTGTGTGTGTGCGTGCGTGTGTGTGTGTGTGCGTGTGTGTGTGTGCGTGTGTGTGTGCGCGTGTGTCTGTGTGCGTGTGTGGTGTTGGTACATGGTGTGTGTGGTGTGTGCGTGTGGTGTGTGTAACACATTCATTCATCTTGGGCACCCTGTAAAGAAGAACTAACTTAGGGTCTACTGGGAATGCCCAAGTAGAAGTAATAAAATACAATACCAAGCGACCGCGCAGCTGTGAGACTCACGCTATACATGTGCATACGCAGCTCGACACAGGCCACAGCCACTCTTGACGGTCCAACCGGGACGCTGCCACTGGGACGTCCTCCGCGATTTACTGCCAATGACCAGCAGCTCGAGTCTTGCAGCAGTGCGGTACTAAACAACACTTCCCCCTAGTGGCAGCCTCTAGCCGCTGTTGTCGACAACGATCCAGAACATTATTTTTCCGCTGGCTGGCTTGGAGAAAAAAAGACAACCCTCGGCGACCCCAGTCAAATTTCTCCGCTCCTGGGCACCACGCGATACCAAGAACGGACAAACGGCAACACTGCCAGGACGTACAAGTGACACTCGCAGGCCAAACGCCAGGCTCGTGGAAGACCTCGCGCGCTAGCTTGTCGCACGAACTAGGCCTAACGCCGCTAGGCGATGCCAGTCAGCGCGCAGAATCAGTGCGCCAAGACTACTTGTTGTCAAGCGGGGTTAGCACCTACCGGAACAATCGGGAAACGACTATCGGTAGACCTCCGTTTTCACCCTTGGCTGAGCCTGATGACTCTACGATGTTACTTTTTGGAGCGATGGAAATTCGAACACACTATCCATTCAAAGGCGCCTAACAAAGAATAGAATGCACTAATGTTTTCATGCGGCAAGTAATAATAATTGCTGAAGCACAAAATTTCAGTTTTCGATGAATTGCTAACAGTAACAATCTTGTGACCAAGCCACAATCAATTCCGCCTGTACCTTGCGACGTCCGCGCCCCAATGGCAATGGTCTGCGTTGTGGATCACGCACCAGCCGTCACCTATCCCAATGCAAACGTCGAGATGAAGAAGGACAGCAGCTAGCAGAGCCTCGTATCCCAGATCTCGCTAGACATGTGCAGACAAATTATTATTTTTTCTAAAAATGGACTACGACCACGGTACGAGTCAAGACTCAACTCAAGTCGACTCAAGATCATAACTCTCGTTGAAAGCGCTCCGTCTAGTAGTCGTACCTGCACCAACCATCGCACGCGCAGCGGCGCACACATCAGAAGCCATTCGAAGGCTGACCTCTAACCTAGACCATTCAAGCCCACTTGCCCATGTCGACGCCATTACTGTTTTTTTGCGAAAAAAATATTTTACAGAAAGTCGGCAAGAAAAACAATCGTAGAGCTAGACTGCAGTGGAGGAAAAAATAATCAATTTATTTGTGGCAAATGCGCACGACAATGTCGGGGCAATAGGACAACTGCTAGCAGCATCCAGCTGATAGCAAACACGACTTCTGCACGCACATGACTGTACAATGCGGTATTCACGATCTGACTATGGGATGCAAGAAGGCGGTGGTGGGTAGACGGAGGCAAATCGCTCAACGCGTCTCACTATTCGGCGAACCTCCACGCCACATGCGCAAAAACTAGAGCGTTTCAAGGGCTTGTTGATCGGTCACGCTGCTATGTCAACAACAATATCCTGCCCCATAAATGAAGAGATAATTGCTACTGGAAACTTCCCGACATCTACGAGCCAAACACGACGCGAGTCCCCTACAGCAGCAATATCTAGAAATAATGTGCACTCACATTAGAAGCGAAAGGTCCAAAGGGAAATAACCCATCGCTATTGGTTCACAACAAAAGCCAGCATGAATTACAAAGCATAGCACACCGCACCCAATGAAGTTCATTCGGTCAGTCACGGCTCAGCTACTTTGCGAGCGAAAGTTATCGCTAGACAAAGAACAAGGCAGAATTTCATTGAACAAACTACAATGAACGCACCCGTACAAGCCAGGGGGACAAGAATGGACAAGACTTACCGAGCTCGACGGCAGCTGCTGTCGGGGTCGTTCGTTCAGCGGCATTGATGGCCGCGAACGAGGATCCCTCACTCTAGCGACCTGACGGTTCTCGTTGGGATACGACCTTGACTGCTACACAGGTTTTGGGCAAAGTGCGCAGAAAAGGTTCAGTGAGCTACGGTGAGATAATTATCCTGACTATGAACGAACCAAAGATACATTTCAATGCGTTTGTCCAGCTAGTGCCAGAATATAGGCCTCGAGACTGCCACGATTCCAGGCAACTGCTTGGCGCTGCCTGCTTTAGCAGCCCACAAAGAGCACCTCTTTTCTAGTACTAGTACTACTGCCTATGGAGAAGAGGCAAAACAGAAGACGAAACTCGGGCACACGAAACATTCAAGTGCACACACAGACAGTAGCCAGTACAGCGATAGTCTTACCATGCTTACTGACTGTCATGCCACCGTTCGTTTCCTCACTGTGTAGATCCACGCAGATCACGCGTAGATTGATCTACCACCTAGGCTACAGGCTACACTGCACTAGTAGTAGTACTTGCTGGCAACTGAAATCCGACCCCCTAGCGCCTCGTACGAATCGCTAACGCGGCTAGCGCACCGCTAGGGGGTCGGATTTCAGTTGCCATCACTGTAGCTACAGCAGTACCGTGTAGTACAGGTCAGCAGTACAGGCTTCAGAAGTGTAACAGTAGGCACTTCAGTCACGTGACAGGACCTGTCAAAATTTGCTAAGGTGAGAGTGCGTACTTGCGTGGCACCAGTCAAGTGCATGCGCAAAACTGCACAGGTACGCGCTATGCTTCGTTGTACGGGCTGATAGTTGGGCGCATCGTGTTGCTCTGACGTTCAGCTTTCGGTAGATCCCGCATACGTCATAGTGCGTACATTTTTGCGAGTTGTAGATCACGTATACTTCCAGCAAAGTGTTTTTTCACAAAGAACTGTTGTTTGCTCGCGTTTGAAACGTTGCTTATCGTCTTCAGCGTCGTCTTTCCATTCGGAAACAGTAGAGTTCTGGTTTACCAGGGTTTGCGCATCGCTGCGCAAGGAGACATTATGGACGTAGGCACTGAGAAGTATGCGCTTTAGGCGGAGGAGAACGACGATGCGTCGTCCTACCTGGGCGAATTCTCAAAGCGTACTGAGAGCCAAATTTTGACACGGTTGCGCTGGAAGGCCTGCTGATGTTTACGAACAATCAAAAGGCACAGTGGCTGCCGGAGAAACCCTCCGATGAGGGGATGCTTTGATATACGCAGCCAGGCACGCTTCACCGAAATTTCAAAGCTCACTAGCAGGCAATTCATGATTGCTGCATGGCGCAGTTGAAGGAGAGGGAGGCAGATATCACACCATGGAAAGAAGCTACCAACAGAGGTCCTGAGGAACTTCTTGCCAACTTGGAATCACTTGAAGTGGCATGACTGTGGGCACGAATGTCCTGTGCAGTAATTCGCGCGCGCGCGCGCGCGCGCGCGTACTCACCCTCCACTTTGCTGTGTACGGCGTACAACGTGGAAGTTCTCTGTTGTTTTTGTGCCAGAAGAATGTCTTTATAGCTCTTACGCTTTAGTACCCGCAGGAGCCTGCCAGTATGTCGTTATCAGTTCATTTCACAGCAAACTGAAGCTGTTACTATGGGTTACTATGGCGTTGCTATGGGTTGCTATGGAGTTGCTATAGTGATTGCGGTCACAATTGCCGTATTCTTGACTATTCTGAACTTTGATCTGTATTGTTTCGATCCATACATGGTTGTTGGTGTAAGTGAGTGATGTGTGCTTGAAAAAAACACTCTGATGTTTTGTGACTATATCCACTGATAATACTTCAGAGATGCTGTTGGTGCCACAAATTGTATTGATTTCGCCTTATGCAACTGCCTATCTTCAACCCTTCATAGCTGAGTGGTATCACTGTGGATTTCAATAAAATTTTCTGTGTGACCTTGTGATACCCACCACCATCGATTACCGATGATAAACCTGGAAAAAACCCGATTTCAAAAAATGGGGTGAAGTGCCTAGTAACAGTCAGTAAACCGTACTACTAGTACTAGTACTGCCAGTACTGGACCTGCGCGAGTGCGCGTGCGAAGCTGCACTGCATCAACCATGTCAACTGATCAAACAAGGCCAAGGGATCAATCATGCGCATATATATAATATGCACGAACGCCGTCCACCCAGGCCACGCATGCCATACATGGCCCACAGGCCCAGTGGCAGTCCCTTTCTCGACGTCACGTCGTCAGCTTCATGTCACTGCCACTGTGCCAGTACATACACAGTTGTACACTGCACTGTAGATCTACTTGCAAGTACATTGTAGTTGCATTAGTCCAGTACTACTTCAAGTACTTGTACTTGCATGCTGTGCTGTGCCACAACTTTTGAACGCACGTCAGACCCAGACTGGGCCAGAGTTGCCACCGCGTACCGGCTACCGCAGTCGATCGAGGGTACTACATGATGTAGTAGTAGTAGTCGTGCACTTACTGACGTCTTTACTCTTTATTTCCATGTGAACAGCCTCTTGTACGGGCAAGCAAAAACGTATTAACAGTTACATCAAAATTCAATTAGAATGAAAAAAGAGAGGAAAATGAACACAACGTGCACTGGAACTCAATATAAAAGGGAACGCAAAGTGCAGTTGAACACAATGAGCATGGGGCCACCAATCGGAGAAGACCTCATAGAGAAAATGACCCAAACCCAAACAAACAAGAACAATAAAATAGGGAACAAACATTAAAAAAATTTGAAGACACCGTACACATCAACGTGCTCTAAGGGTAAGGGTATGGCAGCTTCTTAAAAAGCTGTGGCGCTGGCGCTTTACTCTTTATGATCACTCTCTTTACTTAGTCTTAATATTGACTCCCATTGATTTTCGCTATATATGCAGAGCTCACTGACTTGTCAGTTTGAGCACTCTGGCAAGGTACGTTCGGGCCTGATTGGAAATTTTTATTTCCATTGCTATCAGGTTCGGCCTCATTTTCTCTGTGCTGCGCTGATGAGTTCAAAAAGAACGAAACAGCATGCTGTCCGCAGATTGAGGATTTTCGCTATACATGTACCTCAGCAGTCAAATATTCCTGCATATTTCACTCCTTAGGGCTATATTGACTGCTTATATTTGACTGCTTAGGGGTTGCGCAGTTGAACGGTGCCTAGTGCAGCATTGTCACTGCATGCGTAGATGGTGGTGCAACGGTTGTGCACTGATCATAAAACCGGGACTCTTGAGGTTATCGTTCTGGGATTTGAAATACGGACTCTTACGTCGTTACACTGAGGTGGAGTACACCTAGTTGGGAAACAGTGACCTTACCACAACCATCCACGGTTGGTAGAGCCCCCCCCCCCCCGGTCGGTTGCGACCATCTGAACCGTATGGGTGTTAGACCTAATTCAGAACAAAACTCGCTACTAGTACTAAGTTTATGAGTACAATTATTGTATTGTATTCTTTATTTTACTTCGCAAAGTCAAGCGGGAGCATTGCCCAATAATGATAGCGAAGGGGATGGGGGGTGACGTAACTGACGTTACATAATAATTATCTGTCGTAATCAAATGTGCCAGTACTCAGTAGTGAGGGATAAAAGAGCAAGAGCGGCAGAAAGGTAAAACTAAAAGTAGGCAAGGTGTATCACCGTTGTGTTAGTATCATCGGGTAAGGACATACGATAAAGGCACTAGTGGTATCACAGTATGGGTGGCGAGACACTACTAGTACTACTACTACTACTACTACTACTACTACTACTAGTAGTAGTATCACCAAGAGTGCATAAACAAGAGTACCGTATTATCTCTAATATAAGCACAGTCTCCAATAATAGCACGTCTCCAATAATAGAACACCTTGGGGCGGCATTCAAAAAATAAAGTGCTCAGTCTCCATTATAAACACACTGTGTAAATTCACTATCTGTACCGGGGAAAAAACCGTGAAATGTGTGTGTCTGACATATAAATTTGGCATGGCAACATGCCTCTGAAATGAGGTTGAAATAATAATGGAACAGTCTCCAATAAAGGAACGTCTCCATTAATAGCACGGGGCGGAGGTACATTGAAAAAATAAAGGACCGTGCTTATATTAGAGATAATACGGTATGCAACTGTGGTTATCTGGTTAGGCCACACCAAGTTATTTCATTGTTTCTCGTCACCTGAAAATCTCAAAAGGAACGCGGGCGGGCGGAAAAAAAACAAAATAGGGTTTGAAAAACAAAAACTGCTATTTACACTACAAAGGCCCAATTTATGACCTAAAATCAGACTATACACCACGCTTGACTTGTACCGGAACTGTGTGTAGCAAAGAAGACGACCAGGTCGTGTGGTGGTGTGGTACTTGAACTACCGGTATGCGTACATACACGGTGCAAAAGTCGTCCTTCGGTTCGTGCACTAGCACTGCACTCCAGATTTGACGCCGCGCGTACTTTTACAACGCCTTTTTATGCGTGTTTACCGGGACGCGAGATTTTTTTTTTGGTCCAATCCTCAAGAAAGGTACGCGCGCGGTGACGAGAAACAATGAAAAAACTTGGTGTGGCCTTATGGGTCAGTGCGCGGCGCGCTGCCTGCATTACGTAACTAACTTGCCTTCATCACGCTCTGAAAGCATGCATCCAAACTCTCAATTTCTCGCACGAGCCCATCCGTTTTTGCTCGATTCGTTCCAGTACCTACACAATCTCTGAATTCTGGCGCGTGAACTCCAGTTCCGTACGAAAGTTCATTTCAAACTGGAGGGAAAGTGCGGTGTTTGATTTTCCGCAGTACTGCGCGGACTGCAGCTGAATGATTGTAATGAAGGCAGCGCGCGCCCTACCACGCATCTGGCCCATAGAAAAGAGATCACAGTTGCATGCTCTTGTTTATGGACTCTTGGTATCACGGATAGTCGGCCAGGCGTTAGGCAGGAATGGACTATAGTCACACATCGCAGCAATGCGGCAGGCAATTCAGTTTAAATTTAGAGAGCCACGAGATGGTCCGCACATCTTCCGGTAGCGGGTTCCACAAAACAGCACTTTGACCGTGGACCGGGATTTTCCGGCGCGAGTGAGGCTTTTCTGGCTGAGAAGTCCTCCGGTTTGTTGACGACGTGTTCTTCTGTCGGTTGGACGAGAGATGAGGGTAGTTAGGGAGGGGCTGATCCGTGCTCGGAGTTGCCTCCGCACGAGCAGCTTACGCTTGCAGAGTTCCGTGAGGCCAGGCGGAATAGACTGTTCTTGGTCAGCAGAGGTTGGATGGCTGTGTGGACTGCGGGGTGGGTTCTCGTCAATGGCTTCTATACATGTACAATCTACAATGTAGCTGTGTGCCGCAGACGGGCGCAGTGTTCGCAGGCGATC